GCTCCACTTCCAGCGCACCCCGTCGTGGTCCTCAGTGCCCTTGACCCCGAGACCCCTACGCATCGCCCTCATCATGATCTTGTCACCCTCGACCGTGAAACTTTTATCTGGGACCCTCCCCTCCATCCCCGACAAGAGAGCACCTTGCACATACGAAAGGATGGCCATGCGCTTGATGCCGCGGGCGGCCTCGTGGACAAGGAAGTTAGAGATGATGCCGAGGCCAGTCCGTCCAGCCTGGAATCTTTTTCCTTTCTCAATCTGCAACGATCCCTGCACCGTCAGCCAACCGCCGAGGATGCGCATAAATCTGCCAAACTGCCCAGAGAGACGCAGAGTGCCTGCATGCAGGAGGCGGCGTTGGGCGATGCAGCCTTTCCCAAAAAGCCTAGCAAATGTGACTCGCTTGCCCTCGTTGAGCCCCACGCCGATGCCGTCCAGGGAGGATGCTAACTTACAGCTGCTAACCTGTGCCAGTGCGGTAAGGTGACGTGCCTCTCCTCCTCCTCCAAAGGGTTCAGGTCCTCTCCCTGGGATCACCGTCTTCGTGATATCGTCGGCGTACAGTGTGATTCCCGTGTCCGTGCGTGTGCCGCCCACCTCCTCCGCCTGTGAATACGTGTACGAGCTCGTCCCCGCCCTCCAGCTCAGAAAAGCCTCCAGGCCCTGAAGATAGAAATACGGGAAGCCTCTGGCAGGATTAGGGTGTCCCATGAGCTCTCCAGAGGTAGGCCTGAGGGAGATGGGCCTGTCGGGTCCCATGATCTGCATCGCCGTCTGCATCGTGCGAGAGTGCTGGAACCTAACGTCCTCGGGGAGGTAGAGGGACTCGAGGCAATTCAAGATCGTCTCTCGTGTCGTACTGGCGAAAGCGTTCGTGGCATCTTCATTGATGATGGCGTGTGATAGCGATAACTTCTGGAGCCTCCAGCTCAAGCAGTCCTGCACCGCGATGGCGTCTTCACGCCGGCGGCGACGAGCAAAGCCGTGACAAAAATACGGAAGTGGGTCACGGTGGCGACGAGCCCGATTCCAAAGATGGGCGTTCCACGCCTTGCCCATCGGGCAGAAGAGATGTATCCAACGTTGTCCGAGCGGTCCTGGCTTGCCATTGCCCTTGTCCAGGCCCACGATGTGAGAGATGTCGAAGACCAGTGGGGTGGAGGAAGTCCGCCGAAAGGATCCGATGATGTCGAGCATTCTTTCCCTGAAGGCCTGTGCCGTCGCAGGGGTAGGGCACGAACCCACTCCACCACGTTTGAACTTGTGCCACTGGTCGGGGTCGATCAGGATCAGCCAGAGCTCCGACGGCATACTCCACGCGGGTGTAGCTCGTCTCTTCGGTGCCCTGCGGAGCGCCCTGATGACGCCCGAAAGGTCCTGAGCTGCCGTCTCTAAATCTACCATCTGCATCGTGTCGTAGCGCTGCTGGTCCGTGCGGTGAGCCTCGTCCCCCTCGTAGGTGCGGTCGAAGCGCTCCGTCAGCTCCGCCTGTAGGTCGCAGTCCACCGCCGAGAGTCCGCCCTGCTGAGCGGGCAAGCGTAAGAAGTCGGCGATGTCCTGTGGTTCGCAGTTCTCCTCTCGTGCCTTGAAGTACTTCCGATGTCGGGGCCCTCTGCCCTTGCAGGCCAGTCGCCGAAGCAGAGTCTGCACGGCGAAGTGGTCGTGCTCCCTCCAGGCGGAGTTGAGCTCACCGACCAGCAGGGAGTTGCGTTCCTTGGTGATCTGGCGTGACAGCTGCCTGAGCCTGAACGTGATCCTCGCCAGTTCCAGTTCGACGTCCGCACGTGCCTCCGAGAGTGAGGAGTGCGCGGGGCCGGGGAGCAACGGTGCGAGGGTCACTAACGGCGCACCGCCGGGCAGTCCCCACTCGCACCGCGCCCCCCGCTCGGCGCGGCCTAGAGGACCTCGACCAATATGAAGTTCACGCAGCCGTCGGCGACGTGCCAGGACCTCCGAACGCAGCCTCTCCAGAACCGACTTCTCAGCCGCCGCAGGTGAAGGGCGTAAAAACTCCGTCAGCGCCGCCTCCCTGAGCAGCACCGAAATCGAGTTCCACAGCTCGTCTGTCGTAGGCCGTGAGCAAAGCCGTACCCATTCATCTTCAGGGATAGTCAGGATGGCTTCGTGGACCCGTTCCACCGCAGAGGTGCACTCCTCCCCGCCGCGCAGGATGCGCAACATGGAATCGAAGTCCCAGCACTGCCTCTGGGTAGAACTGGCCTCGAAGCGGTAGCTGCATTCCATGAAGACGGGGCGGTGGCCCCTGTCGTCCAGGGTATTCACGGGCTGGAGCCGCCTCCCCGCAGGTCGAAGAACACGGCAGACTCGGACGTGAGGAAGCAAGCCCGTCGGAGCGTGGATAAAGTCTATCCGCGACGTGTGTCCCAGTGGCCCGTGAAACGTTGGCCCAGCTGGGTAGTGCGCGTTGATCGCGCTCAGCGCCGTGTCCCTCAGAACCTGGTGCCAATGCTTGCCAGCGAAGTGCTCCAGCTCAGCCCCACAAGGGCCCACGTGTGCGTCGGCTTCCCGTTCCCAGTCCCAATCGGCTCCGTGTGTACTGGTGTCCCGTGGGGCCGTGACGCACACGCCGTCCAGCGTGTCGTCTGCGCAGAAGCCCAGTTGGTCATTCAAATCGATGCCGACAAACGGTGTGCACCTGGAGCCCACTCCGTTGATGACCGACTTCGCCCAGTTGCAAAGTCCCAGCACGACGTTCCGATACTGTGTACGTCCGCCGCGGAGCGACGGAAGAGTGGGGAAGTAGAGCACCATGAATAGAACGTCCGAGGTCTGTGATTTTAAACGTACTGCTCCGCCACGTCCACTTAGGAAACTGGGCGGCGTGAAAATCTTACGAATGAAGTTCCTCGGGAAGCGCCTCTGGTGGAGGAAAATCGACACCCCGCAACTCTTGTTGGAGGCCCTCGTCCACCCGAAACTCAGTTCCCAATGATAAGGATGAAGGAAGAGTGAGTGTGTGTCCTCTGTCTGACGACGGGAGGTACCTGGCAGCATGATAGCTCCAATATTTTTGAATTCGTCAGAGATCTCCGATGCCCGCGTAGCCCCCGTCAGGAACATGGGATTATAGACGCACGTCCGAAGTGTGAATGTGTTGCCATCTTCAGCGTGGGGGCGGGTCCTCTCCATCACCAGGGCGCCAAGCACGCCCAGCTGCAGGAAGGCGAAGGCGCTCACGGCGAGGAGCCAGCGCCTCGCGCGAGGGGCCCCGGCCCCCTCTCTCATGGGCGAGGAGAGCCCCTCGAGGGAGAAGCCATGCCGCTGAAACACCTGACTTTGTAAGGAAGTGTACTGAAGTGCCGCGGGAAAGGGGGGTGGTCTGGGCCGCTGCAGCGGCTAGGAGGAGGAGGAGGCGGAGGAGGAGGAGGAGGAGGCGGTTCTCTTCGCGCCCGCGCGACGCCGCCCTGGAGAAGGCACCGCTGCGGCCTGCGCCGCGGGGCGCGCAGGGCTCGAAGCTCGGCGCCGGCGGAATGGCGCAAGCCTCCTGGCGCAGAAGCAGAGATACAGTCATCGGCCTGACCTACAGTGGGGACTCGGCCACAAGAAACCTCCGCAAGAAACCCAACCCTGAAATACGCGAGTTGATCAATGAAAATCCACAGGTGTCGATCGAACATCGTCATGATCTGATTGGGAGCCCATCAGAATCCAAGAAACCCAGGGCACCCTGGCAAAATCCAACTGGTTTCTTGGCACGCGCCCCCACTGTAAGGAACGATCATCAGGAACGAAGCCTCTTTTCTCCAAGTAAGTCTACGAAGTCCGAAGGGACGGCCGACCCGCGCGTCCAAAACCTGGCCGAACACCAGGGGGCTCACCGCCAAAAAGGTAGCAGAACGCATGCAAACCTGAGGAAAGACCGAGCTCCTTCTGAAAAGCAAGTGTTCCTTACTCAAGCCGCTCAATGTAGAAGTAGAGGAACCGAGGAAGAGGAAGAGTTAGAGGCGGCCAAGGGGTCTGAGCTTCATGCGCCGCGAGAATATCGGTCAAGACGGGGGGTATAGGACAACCCGCTCAAATCGGTCCCCGGAACCCCGGACCCCTCCTGGGGTCCTTCTGGTGCAGTTTTCCACTCCGGATCCGTTTGCGACTGTCCTGCAGCCCAAAAACGCCCCCTGGAGAATGGAAGAGATAGAAAAACACTTCTTCGAACCCAGAAGCTCGAACCACCCCCCATCCTGCCTGCTGGCTGGAACCAATGCTGGGCCAGACCCGCAGCCGACTCGAGACCTGGACCAGGTGGTGGCGGAGGCGGGACCTGGGACCCCAGCCCCAGTGCCCAGGGCGTCCCATGCGCCAACAGGGGTGGGGTCCCCCCTCACGTACCCCTGGGCCGAGTCGGGACGGGCCGAAGGGCGGGAGGGGTGAAGGCGAGAGGAACGCGGAGGAGCGAGGTAGAGGAGGAGGAGGAGGAGGAGGAGGAGGAGGAGGAGGAGGAGGAGGAGGAGGAGGAGGAGGAGGAGGAGGAGGAGGGCGCACGCGAATACGGATCGGAGATGCGCTGCTCTGGCGCGCGGGCGCACGACCCACGGAGCAGGAAGGACATCCTCCCCCGAAGCTGCCGCCGGGCCCGGCGACGGGGCGCGCCACTTCTGCACGGAGCGAGGCCCGTTGCTTCGTCCACGCGCCCGGTCCCCCGCAGGGCGCTGTCTCGAGAGGAGGGGCGCGGGAGAGGGGGCCAGGCGGGAGGGAAGAGGGTCCTCTGCGTCCTCTGAGGAGGGGCCCAGGGACACACAAGTAAAAAAACACATAGTCCAAATTTCCCCATGTGTTCCGTTATGTTCTAGATATCCGTCTTCCCACCCACGTCCCATATTTCCCCATATTCCCCCAGAAATCGACGATGAACTGTGTCTGTCTGTCTGTGTGTGTGCTTTGTTCCCCTCCTGAAACAAGAGTGTCGTCTTCGTCCTCGTCGTCCAGCCGGGCACCGTGTCCGCGCGGAGGCGGGGCTGCAAGGGGGGGGGGGGGGCGGCCTGGAGGGAGGCGCTGAAGTATTCCAGCGTCTGGCCGGCCTTTTCCCCGGCAGAGGGCAGACGAGGCGGGGGGAGGGGCAGAGGGGGGGCTGAGGGAGGGGGATGGGACAGAAGAGGAGGGTGACGAGGGGGGGGACCGAAGGAGGAGTAGTCGAGGAGAGAGAGGAAAGGGGCAAGTTGGACGTGCTCGCGCCATTCTCTAGCATCCTGCCCACCCCCTCCCCATCTTCATGCTCGTTGCGCGGGTTCTGTCCCCCTCTGCCGACGGGTGCCATAGCTGCAAGGGGCCCACCAGGACAAATGTTCGCGAGATGCGCAATCACACAAGGTCTTGTAGATGGGCAACAACAAATCAGCAGCCCGAGCGACACGCAGGAGGAGCGGGAGAAGCAGGAGGACCAGGGGAAGGCACGAGGCAAGACTCGGAACCAAAACCGTGGCCCGCGCCGGGGCGAGGGCGCCATCCAGAACGACGGGGGCGAAACGCCGATCCAACAAATGAGGCCAGCGCTGCAGCGGGAGTGCCGTTTCCAAGCGCCAGAGACGTTCAGATTGGAAGCAGGAGTGGGGCCTGAACCATCCAAACCCACTGTAACAAACCGTGCGGTGAGGGGGAGATATGATTTCATAGCGAAGTGGAGGGAGCCGTTTTCACGTGGAGTCGTTTCTAACTGTGGGCATGGCGACCCCAATCCCCGACTGCGTGATGTCGGCGGTTGGGCCAGCGAAAATGAAAACCCAGCTCGGAAATGTCCATGGGGAGCGCCCATCCTGGTCAGGGGTGCGTCTCAAGAGTCCCCTTCTGGGGGTGTAAAGTCATCGGCCTTACCTACGAACGACGAATAAGGAATGACGCCCGTTTTTCTCCAAGGAATAACGAATAAGGAACGATATGTAACACAAAAACAATAAGGAACGATAAACAACGCATGCAAACTTAAGGAACGATCGAGGCAACTTTGAACATTACGCATTCCTGATTCAAGCCGCTCACCGTACTCTTGAATTCACCTTTTTGTCTGAACACCCGCATTCTTGGGGGGAGGGAATTCGGGGGACCGGGGGGAGCATGTCTCTGAAAAAAAGGAGAGGGAGAGGTGGAGAGGATGAGGAGGTAGAGACGCCAACAGAGGTCCGCCGAAGAGCAAGCAGATGACATGAGAAGCCAAGAAAATTACACCCAAAGGAATACCCAATAGGCGGATGGTTTGAAACGGGATCGAGAAAAAAAACGATGAGGAGATCGACCGGGAACGAGGGAACCCGGAACCCACCGAAATCGGACCAGGACCAATGACAAAAAACCCGGGAACCCAAAACCCGGAACCGGCGGGACACTGTCGCCAAATCTTTCAATATCCGCTACGACCCCTTCACTGCAAGCACTGATTGGGGAATTAAGGCGGATGGAAGGGCAACGTCCAGGGAAAAGGTGAGCGCAGCACCCGAATTTGTTGAGACACCCGACTTTCATTAGAAAGGGGGGGGCTCTCGCAATGGACACATCCCTATGACATTCTACCACGTTCCACCCTGAGTGGGGGGCTAGCGGGACCCCGTCTTGGGGTTGAGACCCTGCCGCGCCAGCCCGGCCTTCCGCTTTCGGTCAGCCCTGGTAAAAAGCTTGGGAGATGGCCCCAGACACGCCAAATTCAGCTTCGAGCGCCCGCCCCACCCCTCCTCCCCTGACGCGGTGGCACCGCCCTGGATGCTACAGACCATTGCCCCGTGGGTTACTAAGCAGGGAGGGCTCGAGCCCCCGAAACGCCTCGAGCCCGGCCGGCGGCCCGCAGGGCGGCACAGGAACGGGCCGGAGCACCTCGCCAGCTGCCGCCAGGGCCTGACACGCGCGCGGGCCGTGAGTCACTGGCCACCAGGCCCAGCCTATATAAGAAATCACAGTCCGCTCACGCATGGCGGGCAACGGCGCTTGCGGTCTCAGCCCGCAGGGTGCGCCGCGCGCCCGACCGCGCAGGCGACGCGGGAACATCTGCGGCGCCGAACCTCCATCGGCGGCGCAGCCCGAACGAGGTCGTGCAACACGACCACAAAGACGGGCCGCGGGAACTCCGCGGGGGACCCCGACGCGAGACTCGAGCGGGTCGCGCCACAGGTCGAGTTCCACCGCCCGACAGACCGCCCAGGAAGCATGCCCACATATCGCCTCGGTACGCAAGAGCTTGGATGAGAGGTGCCCAGCGCGGATCGCCGACACGGCGTGCGGTGGCGTCCTGAGCTCGGCAAACCAGTCAGCCCACACGTTGCCCACTCGCCGTCCGAGGAGGCCCGAGAGAAATGGCCTCCACGGGGCGCTTGCGGGCCAGGGTCGAACAAAAACGCGGAGGCTCGCGGGGGCCAGCCGCCTTGAACATGGCCCCCCCCCCAATCCGCGCATGCCTGCCTCTCGAGGCCTCGAGAGCTGAACCCCAGGATAAACCAAGCTCGAGAAATTATTCGCAACGCGCTGGGTGGCCACACCGCGCTTCGCGAGACGACGCACAACCCAGCGCTCAGCTCTGCCTGCAATCTGCACGCTGGAGAGAGAGAGAGAGAGAGAGAGAGAGAGCCGTGAATAGCACGCGCGGGTAACGTATTTTCAACGATCGCTGGGCTGCGGACCAGCCGCAGCGCGCCCGTTTCTGCTGCGCGGACTCGAAGCCTGAGCTGTCTGCAAGGCCAAACGCGCCAGCCTCGACGTCGCCCCGGAAGGACGGCGGGAGCTCGCTCTCCGCGGCCTTCGCCGCGAGAGCGCGCGAGACCTGGGGGCGCCCGCGCCCGCGCTCCACGTCGTCACAGTGGCAGACCGCGCCGGGGCCCGCCAGCATGGCCCTATGTGGTCGGAGGCATCGCCCCTTGGGTCACCTTGGAGCCATATTTGTGCCTCTTGGGCGGTCTTGGAGCGTGGGAGATCCGAAAGGAAATGGCGAGAAGGCTACGAGGCTCGCATCGCTCAGAAACCCCAGGGACAGCAACGACGTCAGCCTCTCGCGACCTCCTGGGTGCGCTCTGTGGGCTCTCTTGGTGCGTCTTGGGAGCTTCGGCAGTCGCGCCGGGCGCGGCCGCGGTTGCCGCGCTCCGCCCCGCGCCTTCGGCAGCGCGCCTTCCCTTATGTCGGACGTGTCCCCTACAAGGGGATTTTCGACGAAACATTTTTTAAAAAATCCAAGAAATACACCAAAATGGTCAAACAACACTCGAAAAATAGTCCCCAGACTATGTTTGGACTATTTTGGGGGTGTGTTTTATTCTTCGTCGAAAATCCCCTACAGGCGGCTGGGACCTCGGGGAGGACGAGGACGACAGGCGGAGGGCGGGGCCAGATCGAAGCGCGGAGTCCAGGGATCCGCGGGGAGCTCCTGAGCGACGGGCGGGCGGATCGGCAACGGACCGGGCCTCCAGACGTCCGCGGGCGGCCGCTCCGCCGGCGCCGGAGCCCCCCATGTCCCCACGGGGACGCCCGAGGACGATGGTGCAGAGCCGCCCTGGAGGCCCCGGCCACGCCCATGACCAGTGGGCAGGGGCCCTGGTGGAGGAGAAGGGGGCCGTGGCCATGCCCTGGTCGAGGAGAGGGCAGGGCCATGCCCTGGGGCCCTGGGCACGCCCTGGTCGAGGAGAAGGGGCCGTGGCCATGATCCAGGAGGCCCCGATCACGGCCCCGCCGCCCCCGACTGGATGGACTCCGCGCTGAATCCAGGATGGGGCCCCTGATCCCTTGAGCCGTGGGTTCGCGCCAACGTGTGCTTGTCCACCGAGGCCCTTCAATACGACGCAGGCGGCGCAACGAGGGTCGACACAGGCTGCGCGTTATCGGCGGAGCCGAGCTGCGCAAACACACGCTTGGGCTAACACGTGTCGTGAGGGTCATCGAGAAGAGGAGAAAAATGGGGCGCGATGTCGGGGGGACCAGCTCGAAGCGGCTGGCATCGACCTGGAGCTGGCGATAGCCTGCCGACAGATCGGCGATCGGTGGGCCCCCGACATAGCGGCTCCGACCACTCCCTTGGGCGAAGTGGGCTGCCGGCCCCCGTGCGGCGAGGACTGGGCGATTGTCTCCAGGGGCCCTCGCGTCACTGCCCCCGACCCATGATCGAGCGAGCTGCCGATCGATCCACGGCACACGAGTCGATTGACGATTTGGTGACCGATGCCTCACCCCTCTCGGCCTGTTCCCCCCCTTACGTTCAGAGGCCGCCTAGATGGGCTCGGAGTAGGTGGGGTCGGAAGATCGCGCCGCATCGCCGATACGTCGGCGATGCATCGGCGCTGCATCGGCGTCGTCGACGTGAAGCAGATCGGGCCCCACATCGAGCCGCATCGGCGATGCAGCGGCGATGCGGCGCGAGCCTCCGACCCCATCTGCTGGGACCCCATCCAGGAGGCCCGAAACGCTGCTCCCGATGCAAGGAAGGGGGCCTTGTACATCGCCTCGGAGGCGCCCGCCTGCGCGCCAGCGGCTGCCCGCACGACGCTCTGGGTCGAGACGCTCGGCAGAGGGCGGATCTTGTCCTCCGGCCGCCGTCTTCCAGCAGGCGCCCGGCAGCACGCGAGAGCGGCTGGAGGCCGGAGCGGCCTCTGTGAGGGGCAACGCTAGGGGGGATAGGCTCCAGGGGGGAAACATCGGCCTGGAATCGGCGAGGCATCGCCGACAGATCGGCGACACGCCCCGGGTAGTGAATCCGCACGTTCCTGGGCAGGGTGGGGCCATCGGGCCCCTCTCGGCGATCAGTGGGCGAGTGGGGGTCGATGCGCCCCCCCTGTGCCTATCCCCCCCTATGGTTGCCCCTGACTCCGGTAAACGGCTTGCCGATCGTGGCGCCCGGCGCGAACACACAGCGGCCTGCGTGCTCGGTGTTGCCCCTCCCCACCCCCTCCGCGCCCGGGAAGCCATGCACCAGGAGTTACCACGGGCTCCCAACTTCGCGCTCCGCGCTGCGCGAAGCGCGAAGTACGAATCACGTCGCGCTCTCGCGCCGCCTCACAAGGGAGAAGGAGAGGACGAGGAGGAATCGGAGCCGAACCGCGAAGCGCGAATGACTTCGCGCCCTCGAGCCACCGGCGAGAAAGCACTCCTGCGTGTGGCCGCAGAGACGAGGCCAGGGCGTAGACGGAGGACGCCGCAGCGAAGACCGAGAGGCGGCAGCAGAAGTTCGCGCGATTTGTGCGTGAGCAGAGGGCCTGGGGCGCCATTAGAGGCCTCCCAGATAGGGGTCCGAGTAGGTGGGGTAAAAGGATCGCGCCGCATCGCCGATACATCGGAGATGCATCGGCAATGCACTGGCAAGGCATCGTCGACGTCGGCGATGCATCGGCAACGTCGACGAGACGCAAATCGCGCTGCATATCGAGCCGCATCGGCGATGCATCGGCGATGCGGCGCGATCCTTCGACCCCATCTGCTCCGACCCCGTCTAAGGGGCCTAGAGCTATCAGGTCGGACGTCTCCCCCGAACGGCGCGCTGGTCAGCAGCAGCCGGTGAGATGTAGGGCCGCACGGGCAAGGGGGACGCCATGCGGGACCGCCTGCCCGCAGGTCCCCCGACCGACGCCTCCTCACCACTCATACACGAGAACGCCTGTGGGATTCTCGGTTTGCAGCAAGGGCCGACCAACGCCCTAAGGGCACCCGAAGACGCTGCAGCACGACGTGGCCCCAGGAGGGCCCCGCGAGAAGGCCCGAGAGGAGACACAAAAGGCCCTTCCAGAGGTCCACGGGAGTGGGGCGCCCAGACGGCGCGCAAAAAAGGTTAGGGCGAAGGGGGGCCTACCTTCTGAGACGGCACCCGGCCTCTTGAGAACCCTCCTGCATTACACGGAGCCCTCTGAGGGGTCACTTAGAAAGGGCCGATGTCGCCGAACATCTCCCTGCCTGCTCAGAGCCACCTCCCTCGGGCCTGCTCACTTGGCGCGCCGACAGAAAGGCCAAGAGAAGGTGGGCGGCGACCCGAGCCGGAGATCCCCGACCGCGACGTTCTCAAAGGAGCCTTCGAACTCACGCCTGGCACGCCTCGGCGAACGCCGAATGCAACACTTCTGTCTAGGTTACCTAACTTCACGCTTCGCAATCGCTACTCGCGATTACCTTCGCGGCCTGTGTGGGTGACCTAGATGCACAGCTCGCGCCATTATGTTGCCTTCGCGCCACTGCGGCGTCTCAACCAACACGAGCAGTACCATGCGTCCTCCTTCCTGAAACAACCATTCGACGCCGTCCGCCTGCATGCAGCATCCGAGACTCTCTTCACCATGGCTACTACGAGATATAAGATCAAGTCTGCTTGAGCTAGCGTCCTGCGTGACATTGGGCTTGCAGTCAAGATTGAAGGTGCCATCTGCATTGAGGGCCGTCACCTTCGCCCGCATCCACGCCTGCGCAGTTCGCGGTGAAGAAGATCGCTGTGCATTCAGATGTGCATGGGTATGAGACTAACAGGGGGGGGTGACGAAGTGCACCCGAGGCAGTGATCTGAACAACTAGAAGGACCGGCACAGCTTTGCACATTGCCCAGCACAGCTTTGCACATTGCACAGAGCTGCAATTTCAGCGCTACCCTTCGCATTCACTATCAGCCTTCCGCTTCACCCTGTCCTTCCGCTTCCGCCTGCTCCTACTCTGTTCATTCCAAACGATCTGCTTCGCTGGCGACGGACGCTCAGTTTGCGTGTTGAACGACTCCTGGCGAAGGCGGGACACCAAAACGTTGCTGGAGCCCGAGAAGGCCATGGCTCCCACATTGTGCGCGTCTGCGCCGACGGTGCGATCTCCCATTCCGCCTCCATACCCACTGGCATGCTGGGCCGTGCTAGAATCTCGGATGTGTCTGGCCTGTCTGTGACTGTGACCCAGTCCGTCAACAGACTCCCATCAGCAATTTGCCATCCCTCGTTCAAGCAGGACGACGACGATGAAGAGGGAAACCATGGGGGAACACGTGTAAAGCATGGCTTCTTGCCGCCGCCGGGGAACATTCTGGGAAGGACGATTAACCTCGACCACACGAATGGACAAACACCAACGAGCAAACCCGAAACTCAACGGCGCTGGTGCGCGAGCCCCACCCTCGGGGATCTTCTGACCCGGGTCAATCCAGACCCGGGTCAGCAGGAAAACAAAAACTGCAATGCAGGAAAAAAAACTGCGACGCAGGTCTTCGCAAACCCGGGTCAGCCAATAAGCGCGGCCGCCTCGCGGCCGCGCGCGGCTCGCTAACCTGGGTCAGCCAGAGGGGGTCTTCGCAGGATCCTGCAAGATCCGGTGCCCTGGCTGACCCCGTCTGCATTGACCCCCGTCTCGAGGCTCCCGACACCCCCCAGGCATCTCCTGTCCGGCATCCTGCACTGCCCTGCGGACAGCTCGGGCCTGCCGCGACGCTCTGAAATGACGTCGGCGACTCCAAAGAGTGTGGCTTGCAAAGGGCATGGTTTGCAACCGGCGCCCTGGGGAACATCCCGGGAGACACCCTAGGAGGCGCGGCCGGGGACCTCCATGGAGTTCTCCCGCGCCCCGAGGAAGCCCGACGGGGGCAACGCTGTGCCCCACAGCCATCAACCGTGTCGATCGCAGACCACACCCTGGCGCAACCATACCCTCTGTAGTCGCCAATGCTGCCCCCCTTCCCGCGAGACCTGAGACTTTGCTCACGGCAGTGCGCCCCAGATGAAGGGGCCCCAGGACACACACATAAATACACACAAATAAAAAGGTTCCCCATATTTTCCCATATTTTCTGGGTTTCTGTCTTCCCCCCCACTTCCAATATTTTCCTATATTTTCTGGGGAATCGAGGATTAATTGTGTCTGTGTGTTTCTTTTCCTCCTGACAGTCTCGTCGCTCTTCTGCGTGGCTGGCCCTCGGGGGGGCCGAGAGGACGGCCCCCGAAGACGTGCTGGAAATGACGCGGCGCCCGCCGTCACATCTCTGGCGACGCCTCGCAGTCTCAGCCAAAAATAGGGGACCAAAAAATGACGTAAACATAATAACTCGGAGGTCCGCGCGAATTCCTCGGATCGGCACTGGACCCCCCTGGCGGCGCCTCCGGCGCCGCCCCTGGCCCGCTCCGCGCGCCAGGGAGGGGGGTCCAGCGCAGATCCGAGAAATCCGCGCGGACCTCCGAGTTATTATGTTTACGTCATTTTTTGGTTCCCTAAAAAATGACGAACCGACAACACACACCCATACCCATAGGGGGGTCGGAGAGGGCTATGGGTGCGTGTTGTCGGATGGGGGTCCCCGCTCGAACGGGAGCTTCCCCAGGGTCAGACAACCCGCATCCATACCCATAGCCAGTCCTCCTCGCAAGGACCCCCCTATGGGTATGGGTGTTTGTTGTTCGTTCGTCAAAAAAAAGACCGCCTTGACATACGCCACGCGCGCTCGGAGGTCCGTTCGGCTTCTCTGGGGCTGGCGCCGGGCACAGGGCGCGCCAGGGGTGGCGCTGGAGGCGCCGCGGGTCCAGCTTGAGCAGGGACCGGCCGTCCTGGCATTCCTCTACGCCTATACCACGACATGTTTCGGGGATGGACAGACCCCCCTTTAGTAAAACGTGGTTTAGTGAAAACGACCTGAGGCCCAAACCTGGCGGGCGCAAGCCTGGAAAATAACGGCCACGGCGCGCTCTCGAGAACCGAAAACGGACAATTCACTAATCGACGTGTCACTGTTGGGGGTTCTGTCCACCCCCGAATGTTCCTTGAGAAATGGAGCGTCCTCATCAGAGAACCACTTGTCATTGCATTGCATGTCATTGTCATTGCACCCGCCTTGCAGACGTGCTGCAGCGGATTTCTGCGTGGATTTCTGCCCGAAGCGGCGAGCGAAAAACGAGAAGAATTTCGCGTGGATTTGTTTCAGTCTTCATTCCTGGCCCCAAAACAAATCGCACGAAATTCAACTCGAAATCCAGAACGAAATTCTCCAGGACACTCCGGGCCAATCCTGTCGTTCTCCGAGCGACTTCCGCTCTGCGATGTTGGCGCGCTGACAACAACTTCTCAGAACAGTCTGTGGCGGGCTGTTGGCAAAGCCAGGACGCCTCGCCGCTCGGCCACCGCCGACCCGAGAAGTCCCCGTGGACCTCCGAGAGCTCCGACTTTTGCGCCGCCCCGGGGCTCCTCGCTGGGCATGCCGGGGCTCTGAGCGCCGAGCCCTGGGCAAGAGGTGGCCTCCCGTGCGTGGCTTTGGGGTGCCGCGGGGGGGGGGGGGGAAATCCAAGCCAAAACTGACAAGAAGACCCCTGACGGGCGCGCGCTGGAACCCACCCGGGCAGTGACAGAGCAATAGCCCTCACGCGCAGCCGATGCGGGTCTTCCGCGACACAGCACAAGAGGCCTCCCAGATGGGGTCGGAGTAGATGGGGTCGGAGGATCGCGCCGCATCGCCGATACATCGGCGATGAAGTGGCGATGCATCGGCGACGTCGGCGAGGCACTGGCGACGTCGACGTGAAGCAACGGGCCCCACGCCGAGCCGCCTCGGCGATGCATCGGAGATGCGGCGCGATCCTCCGACCCCATCGACTCCGACCCCATCTCTGGGCATCGCTCGGACGTCCATTCCCTGTGTTTTTTGTCGGTTTCGTGCGTGGTTTCTTCGCCGAATGATCAAGGATGCTCCTCGATGGTCCTCGCCGAAGGAGAAATGCACACGTCCGAGCGATGCCAAGATCTAGGAGGCCCAGGGCTGCCCGCGCGTCACGCCGCACTGGAGACGGGGGCGCTCACGCGCGACCTCTTGCGCGGGCAGCCGACGCGCAGCCGTCGGTGAAGACACGGCCCCGTGCCCGGCCGTCGCTCCGGCTGAGCATCGTCTAACCGATCCCCCGTGCCCACTGGCACGGCCTTGGCCCCACTGGCCCACCCTTGCTACACGTAGTTGGGGGCGTGTGCCTGCTTCGGGTGGCTTCCGCGGGGCATATGCTTCCCGCGTGGGAGGGTGGGCTGCTGGGGCTGAGACGCCCTGGCCCCGCGGGGTGGCAGAATCCCAGGTTCCCTGAACTCGAGCGGAACTGGGCCGGCTGGAACCGATGTCGAACTAGAGGCCTCCTAGATGGGGTCCGAGTAGGTGGGGTCGGAGGATCGCCCCGCATCGCCGATACATCGGCGATACATCGCCGATGCATCTGCGATGCATCGGCGACGTCGGCGAGGCACCGGCGACGCCAGCGTAGACCACATCGAGCCGCATCGCCGATGCATCGGCGATGCATCGGCGATGCGGCACGATCCTCCGACACCATCTACTCGGACCCCATCCAGGAGGCCTAGACGAACCCAATCGAGTCGATTGAGATGGGCGGAGAGAATATATCCAGGGCGTCGTCTTTCGCGGGTGCTCCGCGCGGAGCGTGTTCGAGCGGCCGCGTGTCCGCGGGAGATCGCGCCCCGGAGTCCAGGCCGCGAGGGCATGGATATAGCTCGTTGTTCGTGGGGGATCGACTCTGGGACCCGTTCGTGGCTCACTACTACCATTACGTAAGTCGGGCGTGTCCCCCGACCATTGGGCGAACAAAAAAAATACAAAAACAATACACCGAAAATGTTCATCGTCCCCAAACTATACTTTGACTATTTTTGAATATTCCTCCTGTCTAGGGGCAAGTCCGACTGAATGCTACCGCGAGGATGCTGAGCAACCCGCTGCCGAGCAAGGATAAAGACAAGCAGGAACGGGAGTGGGCAGCGAGGTCGCCACGATTGGCCACCACAGACGCATCCTAGAAGTAACCATCCCTGCCCTGCTAAAAGAAATGAAGACGCGAACCGCCATAAACATAAACGTTTGCGCTCCGCGCTGACAACTTGGATCTGCGCTGACCCCCCGTCCCTGGCGCGCGGAGCGCGCCAGGAGCGGCGCCAGAGGCGCTGCCAGGGGGGGCCCAGCGCGGAAATCCGCACGGAGCGCTGACAATTCATGTTTGTGACGTTTTTTCTTATTCGATGATGGGATGCTCATGCTGGAGACCTTCCTGGAGACACTCGCTCCACTCGTGCGTCGAAGCTGCGTCGAACGTCCGTCGATTTCAGTCGACCTGAGTCGATCCCGAGTCGAGCCTGCGTCGAACCCGAGCCGAACCCGAGCCGAACTCGAGCCGAACTGGAGCCGAACTGGAGCCGAGCTGGAGCCGAGCAGGGGTCGAGCAGCTCCACCCGGACAGCGCTGTTTCTATTTGTTGTGTTGTTTCTCTTCTTCGAGCCCTGCGGAGAGCCCCGCTTGAGGACACCAAAAGGTACCGATAACGCTACTCCCTGGACCTCTCCCGGGGTGCGCACTGACCAGGATCTCGAGGCGAATCCAGCGGTGGCGACGAGGGCCTCTGAGGAGACCTAAAATGGGGAGGACGAGGAAAGGGTGGAGATAATTATGGGTATCTTTTCCTCCTTCGACCGCTGGCGCCTGCTGCGATGCGCTGAAGTACTCCACGAACTGGCCGGGCCCGAAGGCGCCGCCGCCGGGCGGCGGGCTGCTGCTGCCCGCGGCGAGCGCGGCGGCGGTCACGGTGCCGAGGCCTCCTGGGCGGCGCTCTCTTCGTCGGCCGTGGGGGGCTCCCGCGCCGTCGGCGCGCGGCGCCCTCGCAGCGCGCTGGCTGCGATCTCACGAGCGACGAGGTCCCTACGCCGCCTCCTCCTCCTTCTCCTGCTCCTCCTCCTCCTCCTTGTGCTCCTCCTCCTTGTGCTCCTCCTCCTTCTCCTCCTCCTCCTCCTCCTCCTCCTCGTGCTCCTCCTCCTCCTCGTTCTCCTCCTCCTCCTCCTCCTCCTCGTCCTCCTCCTCCTCCCAGGAAGCGGGTCTCTCGCAAGGTGGCGAATAGCGACCCGGCGCGGCGTCTCGCACGGGCTGCAAGGGCGTGGCACGCCGCGCTGTGCAGGGCGCGGCACGCCGCGTTGGAGGCGAGGGCGCCTGCGCGCCACCTTACGCAGGCAGCTGACGCGCGAACGTCGGCGCAGTCAGACCCCTTTCGGGCCGGGCGAAAGGGGGGGATAGCGTTTGAGAATCAGCTAACGCGGCTGATTTTCCCGGCGCCGGGAGGCGCCCATGCATCGAGGAATGGGCCCGGCGGCGGGGCCGGCAACCAGCTGCATGCAGCAGATTTCGTAACTCCCCCTTTCCCTATCCCCCCCCCTTCGTTCGGCCCGAAAAACCCTCTGACCCTGGGCGGGGATCGATGAGTTAGAAGGCCCAGTAGCATCAGGGATCAAAAAAGGTCTTTCCGTGCAAATGTATGAAAAGGCGTGCTCTACCGCTGCTGGCGGAAAACCGGGGGGAAGGTTCTGGGGGTTCCTAACCCGTCCCCCCCCCCCCCTCGAAAACCGGGAGGGGGTCACTACCTGTTCGAACCTCCCCCTCCCGTCCATCATGAAAACGGGGGGGCCACTACCTGTTCGAACCCCCCCCCAGGTCACTACCGGTTCGAACCCCCTCCCCCTGGAAAACCAGACGGGGGGGGGTCACTACCGGCTCCCCCCCCCCTCACCGCTGGCAAACGATGCCCGCTCCTCGGGACATTTGGAGAATGGTGGGGATGTTGGGATCGTGGTGGGAACGGTGGTGGTGGGGACAGTGATGCGGAGACAGTGGGACAGTGGTGCGGAAAGTGGTGGGGACGGTGGTGGTGGTGACAGTGGTGAGGGGACAGCGGGACAGTGGTGGGGACAGTGGGACAGTGGTGGGGGCGGTAGTGGAGGGGACAGTGGTGAAGCCGGTGGTGAGGACAGTGGGGGGACAGTAGTACAGTGGAGAAAGTGGCGGGGACAGTGGGGACAGTGGGACAGTGATGGGGACAGTGGGGACGGTGGGACAGCTCAGTGGGACAGCGGCGGGGACAGTGGGACAGTGGTGGGAACAGTGGGGACAGTGGTGGTGAGGACAGTGGTGCTGGGGACAGCAGTGGGGGATGTGGTGCGGACGGTGGTAGGGACCCAAAGTTGTTTGCTGGCGGTGAGTGTGAAGGGGGGGGGGGGAGGGGAGGGGTTCGAACCGGTAAATAAACGCCCCCCGGTTTTCGAGTGGGGGGGGGGTTCGAACCGGTAAGGACCCCCCCAATTTTCAAGGGGGGGGGTGAGGGAGGGGTTCGAACCGGTAGTGACCCCCCCTCGGGTTTCGAGTGGGGGGGAGGGTCGAATTCGACCCCCCCGGTTTTCGAGGGGGGGGGGGGGAGAGGGGGTTCGAACGGGTAATGACCCCCCCCCGGTTTTCCGGAGGGGGTGGGGTTCGAACCGGTAGTGTTCCCTCTCTGGTTTTCTGGGGGGGGAGGTGTTCGAACTGGTAGTGACCCCACGTGGCGGAGCCCGCGCCGGACACACCCGGCGCACGAGACGGCCACGGGCGGCAACGTGGACAAGCGTCGCTGGACCCCACAAGTCCCTCAGCGAGGCAAGTAAGAACCCCAGCGCAAACACCGTCCCGGGGGGGAGGGTCGACAGGCCTAGGATTAAGTCGGGCCTGTCCCTCTACAGGGGGAATGTTCAAAAATAGTAAAAAAATCGTCAGGGGACGATTCTATGATTATTTTTGACCATTTGGGGGTATTTGTTTTGACTAATTTCCATTTTCCGCCCAAAATCCCTCTGTAGGGAGACACGCCTGACTTAAGCCTAGAAGCAGGCAGTTCGAAAACGTTGAGTCGTCGGAGGTCGGAGTTGGGGAGCATGGCGAGGGGGGCAGCCTTCCGATTGAGGCGTTGGGGCTTCGTTGGCGGGCCCTGCGCCCTTCTTCTGTGGCCACAGAGGCCGGCAGCCAGTCAGTGGGCCATGCATCCTCTGGACGCGTAGGCAAAGCAATGCATACGAGTCATGGCGGTGCGCCAAATGCGTCCTCAATGAAATCTGCCAAGCGCTCTGCAATGACCACGACGACGTGTTGAAGACCCAAAACAGACTCGCTGCGATGATGAATGTGTGATGGCGACAGGAAGATAGTAAGGTGAGGGGGCGAGGGATCATTTGATGTCCCTGGGTGCGTGGCTGAAGTGCTGAAGCGTGACTCTACTGAACGGACTCTTGTCGTTGAACTCCCAGTGCTGAAGAATAACTATTGTTGATCCCCCTCACCGGTGCATGCTGTTTTTTCTGCACCAAAGTGTACCCCTCGACGCTCGCACCCTGCTCTTTGACAAGGAAAGTCTTCCTGCTCAAACTGGGCCCCCGGCCCTCCGGATTACAAAAACAACGGCCCCCGCCTGAGACGCCCTCCAAATTTAATCAGGACCCCCGCTCCTCAGACTTCCTCACAAGTTACTCAGGATCGGTGCTCTCGCTTGTGATTTCCTTTCAACTTAGTCAGGACCCTCGCTCCCATCTGAGACTTCCTTACAATGTACTCAGGAACGGCGCTCCCGCTTGAGACTTCCTCGCAATTGAATCAAGACTTCCTCGCTATCCAATCAAGCCCCCTGCTCCCGCAAGAGAACCCCTCACACTTTCAGCAAGAATTCTAGACGCTCCGCGTATCCCCACCAGCCCATCCAGAAACGATGTCCAGGCGAGTTGAGAGGTGATCAGGGAAGTGCGGGAGCAAAGACCGGGACGGCCGAACCGTGTGAAGGAGAGAAGGGGCGAAGGAGAACATTGGATGGATGGGTGAGGGAATAAGGGGAAGGAGGATGAATAGGATGATGAGGAGGAGGAGGCGGAGGGGGAGGAGGAGGATGAAAAGGAATAGGAGGAGGAATGAAGAGAACGTTAACAAGCAAGAGGGCCAGAGGCCTCTTGGATGCTTCCCGGAGCCTCTTGGGGTATCTCTTGGGCGTCTTGGGACGTATTGGGGGTCTCTTGGCGGTCGTGTGGGGTTCGTCGGCGTCTTGGGTGCTTCGGGGGGGACTTTTGGGGCCGCTTGGGATCCTTTGGGGGCCTCCTGGGGGCCTCTTGGGGGCCTCGTGGGGCCATCTTGGGGTTATCTTGGGCCCTCTTGGGGTTTCCTGGGCGCTTCTTGGGGCCATCGGGAGCATTAATTAGGCCCCCCCCCTCAGGAGGCCCAAATGGGACGAAAACCCGGGTAAAAACCAATGAGTTTGGTTGCCTCGCCGAGGCCGTGTTGGACGCTCCGACGACTCGCCGACCCCCCAGTCCACGGGCGAGACTCCTTCCCCGCCCGCAAGCCGTCTCGCTCTCCCACCCGCCCTCCCAACACATACGCAGCACCCGAACCTGGCCCGAGCCGCAGCATGTTCAGCAGTCGATTTTGGATGGGCATCTGCTGGGGGCGCATCCGCCGCCGCCGCCGCCGCCGCTGTCCGCCGCCGCCACCGCGCCGTTTGCCGCCGCCGCGGCCGACGGCGCCGCCCCCGCTGCAGAATCGCCGCCGCCGTAGCCGCTGCCGCCGCAGCCGCTGCCGTCCCCGTTGCCGCCGCCGCCGCCGCCGCCACCGCCGCCGCCGCCGCCGCCGCCGCCGCCGCCGCCGCCGCCACGGCCGCAGCCGTCGCAACCGCTGCCCCCGTCACAGCCGCCGCCGCCGCCAAATGCACTCTGTATTTCCCAACCATCCTGTGGTGTTGGGTCCTCGTTTTGAAGAGACGTCGCCCCGCGTTCCTCCTCCGCCCCTCCTCCTCTCCTCCCTCCTCCCCCTCCTCCCCCCTCCTCCCTCCGTTTCACCCACCCAAGCGTTTCGTGGCCCCATAGGAGCTCACACCGAAGCCCCAGTGGCAGCGTTCGCATGGCGGCCTCGGGCCATTTCGGCACACCCCTCACGAGGATCGTGGCCCATAGGGAGCCCCACCGAAGGCCCCAGTGGCAGCGTTCGCATGGCGGCCTCGGGCCATTTCGGCACACCCCTCACGAGGATCGTGGCCCCATAGGGAGCCCCACCGAAGGCTCCAGTGGCAGCGTTCGCATGGCGGCCCCGCCCCATTTTGGCGCACCCCTCACGAGGATCGTGGCCCCATAGGGAGCTCCACCGAAGGCCCCACTGGCAGCGTTCGCATGGTGGCCCCGCCCCATTGTGGCGCACCCCTCACGAGGATCGTGGCCCCATAAGAAAACTCCACCGAAGGCCCCAGTGGCAGCGTTCGCATGGCGGCCTCGGGCCATGTCGGTACACCCCCCGCAAGGATCGTGCCCACATAGGGAACTCCAGCGAAGGCCCCAGTGGCAGCGTTCGCATGGCGGCCCCGCCTCATTCCGGCGCACCCCTCACGAGGATCGTGGCCCCATAAGGAGGTCCACCGAAGGCCCCAGTGGCAGCGTTCGCATGGTGGCCCCGCCCCATGTTGGCGCACCCCTCAAAGGATCGTGGCCCCACAGGGAGCCCCACCGAAGGCCCCAATGGCAACGTTCGCATGGCGGCCTCGGGCCATTTCGGCACACCCCTCACGAGGATCGTGGCCCCATAGGGAGCTCCACCGAAGACCCTAGTGGCAGCGTTCGCGTGGTGGCCCGCCCCATTTCGGCGCACCCCTCACGAGGATCGTGGCCCCATAAGGAGCTCCACCGAAGGCCCCAGTGGCAGCGTTCGCATGGTGGCCCCGCCACAGTTTGGCGCACCCCTCACGAGGATCGTGGCCCCATAGGGAGCTCCACCGACGGCCCCAGCGGCAGCGTTCGCATGGCGGCCCCGCCCTATTTTGGCGCATCTCATAAGCATCGTGGCCCCATAGGGAGCTCCAGCGAAGGCCCCAGTGGCAGCGTTCGCATGGCGGCCCCGCCCCATTTTGGCACACCCCTCACGAGGATCGTGGCCCCATAAGGAGCTCCACCGAAGGCCCCAGTGGCAGCGTTCGCATGGCGGCCTCGGGCCATTTCGGGACACCCTTCACGAGGATCGTGCCCCCATAGGGAGCTCCAGCGAAGGCCCCAGTGGCAGCGTTCGCATGGCGGCCCTGCCCCATTGCGGCGCACCCCTCACACAGTTCGCGGCCCCATAGGGAGCTCCACCGAAGGCCCCAGTGGCAGCGTTCGCGTGGCGGCCACTGGCCATTTCGGCACACCCCTCACGAGGATCGTGGCCCCATAGGGAACTCCACCGAAGGCGCCAGTGGCAGCGTTCGCATGGCGGCCTCGGACCATTTCGGCACACCCCTCAAGAGGATCGTGGCCCCATAGGGAGCTCCAGCGAAGGCCCCAGTGGCAGCGTTCGCATGGCGGCCCCGCCCCATTTTGGCACACCCCTCACGAGGATCGTGGCCCCACAGGGAGCTCCAGCGAAGGCCCCAGTGGCAGCGTTCGCATGGCGGCCTCGGGCCATTCCGGCACACCCCTCACGAGGACCGTGGCCCCATAGAGAATTCCTTGTGCGTCGTCCCGCCTGCCCTGCGGTATTCACGTTTGCATATGGTCGGGTCCTTCGCCAGGAAAATTTCTGTTGATAGGGATGGCGGGGGGGGAGGCCGCATCGGGTTCGTTGCGCATATACCGAATTTGGAGGCAGAGTGTGATTTAAATTGTTTTTTAAAAAGGATGGTGGGGAGGTGCCCTCATTGACTCGAGTTGGCTCCCAATCGCCTGGGGGAGGGGGTGTATATTAATAGGGAACAATGATAAACCCCTCCCCGAAGGGGAAGAAGGAGGGGTGGAAGAGGAACCTCCCTAAACCACCGACGCCCAGAGGGCTGGTGGGATTCCGTTCTCGCCTGTGAATTCCATGCAATGTATTCAGGAATCGCGCTTTCGACGCTCAGGAAGCACGTTGCGCCAAGGGCGCCGCTACGATTTACTTAGTAATCGCGCTCTCGCCATATGCAAGCATCCCGCTTGAATGTCCGACCCGCCCGACCCTCCCGTCAAGGATCGCCCGCCCGTCGTGGGCTCCCGCCCGAGACTTCCTTCAGGAACGGCGCGTTCGCCTAGGACTTCCTCGAACGTTCACGCCTTTACCTTCCTGTTCCTCCTCCCCCTCCCTCCTCCCTCCGCCCTCCTCTCCTCCCTTCTCTCTCCCTCCTCTCTTCCATCATCCTTATGCCTCTCTGCCCCATCCCCTCTCCCTCCTCTCCCTCCTCCCTGTTCCCTCCCCTCCCCTGCCTCCTCCCTCCCTCGTTCTCTCTCTCCCCTCTCTCTTTCTCTCTTTCTCGTTCTTTCTCTACCTCTCTTCTCTGTCTTCCCCCCCCCTTCCCTCTGCCTCTAATCAACCGCCCCCCTCTTCGCTCCTTCTCTCCTGGCGGTTTCCCTCTTCCTTCGTCTCTCCCCCTCCTTTCCTCTCGCTCTCCCTCGTTCGCCCCCTCCTCTTTGTGCAGGGCCCACACCATTTCCAATGGCGGGCACATGTACGCCCACGAAAGATTGTCCGCCCGTTCAGGTTTGCTCGACTGTCTAAGCCCGCTGCCCCCCGCAAAGAGAAATAATCACCCCCAAAGGGGGTGTGATCGAAGACAAAAACGGCGGGTATCGAGGGTGTGGGGGACTCGTTTTGAATGACACACGGGCAAGTAAGAGCGAACAGTCTTAGAATGAGTGCTGTTGTCGTCGTCGTCGTTGTTGTCATTGCTGTTGTTGTTGCGATGCGTTGTTTTGCTAGGGGGAACCAGCGCCATAAACGTACACTTTCGACGGCGCGCGGAGCGCGACAGGGGCGGAGCAGGAGGTTCCGCCAGGGGGGGCCCAGCGCAGATTCAAGAAATCTGAACGGACCACATGCTGTTCACGCTGTGTTGGAATTCTTCGGTTTGATGTTCTTTTGCCGTCGTCCCCCTCGCGATCCACCGGCGAACCTCTCGAGACCCAAACCGCGGCCCACCCGCCCGCCCCCTCGCCCTCATATCCGCAATGGCGTTTACCAGCCTCGAACGTATCCCTATCCCTAAGATTGACACGCCAAAAGGCGATGACAATTTTAGGGACTCGCCCTCAAAAAAGAAGGGAATCCCTAAGATTGGCATCGTGATGAGGAGGCGCCCAGCACAGGGATAGGGATGTGCTCCAGGCTGGTAAGGCGTGGCGCTGCGTGCAGCAGGCCAGGCAGAGGCCGTGCTCATCAAGAGAAGGCTTTTGGGAGGGCGACCCCAGCCCTCCCGAGGTGGACGTGCGGCACTGCGCCGCCACCAGGCACCCTTCAGGCGCGGAACGTGAGGGCCTCTCGGGCCTCTGCTCGCCATCGCTCGGACGTCCATTCCCTGTGTTTTTGTTCGGTTTCGTGCGCGGCTTTTTCGCCAAATGATCAAGCCTGCTCCTCGATGGCCCTCGCCGAATGACAAATGCACACGTCCGAGCGATGCCAAGTCTGCGAGCCTCGCTCATTCACGGGTTCCTGGGCCTCGGGAAGGGCACAAACACCAGGGCCCCTCCTGAGCCCCGGGCGGTCCTCACTTCCGCGCCTTGACTGCACCACCTGGGCATCATGGGGCGCAGCTGGGGGAGCTCAACTCGTGGCAACGTCATGCACCTCTGGAGGTGAGCCTCTCTGCGCACGATCAGTGTGAGGAATATGCCACAGTGGGTGGGGGACGCAAACAAACCTTCCCCCATGGGGCACGGTACGTGAGAGGATAGTGCCGAAGGGGGAATCCGAAGGGGGAATGCGTGCAAACACAGCCCTTGGGGCCGTTTGTGAAATCCCCGAAGAAACAGTAAGGGGAACGAAAGGTGTGAGACGGGTGTGCCGATATGAGAACGCGGACAGCAGAGGACGGAGGCAGGAGGAGGGGGGAGCAGGAGGAGACGCACGGCGCTGCTGATTCAGAAAGAGGAACCGACTCCAGAGGGGGGCTGCGAGAAGCAGCAAGTGGGAGGAGGTTTTGGGTAGGCCTCCCGACGTTGCGCCTCGCGATCCCGCCTCAAGAGCTGGAGCTCGTGGGGTGCGCCACACCCGTTCGCCGTCACCGGCCAGGCCGATCGTGCAACAATGATCAGAGGATGCGCCACCCCTGTGCTGGGCATGGCGCGTCCATGATCTGAACCGCTTCTTCGATGGCGACGCCTCTCGGACTCCGAGTCCGTTTCTTCGCCAAGAGAGGCTGAGGCATTCACCCGCGCGAAAAGGGCAGCTGAAGGCCAAGATCAGAGACATCCGACGATGCGCGTTGCTTCAATTTGCAGACCAAGAGGTCTGCGACCGCAGGCGAATAACATTGGAACCATTCTTGAAGCAGCTCGGGGATGCACGCTGGGTGGAGAGGGGCACTCATCTTCGACAGGGGTGCGATCGATTGGCCCCCAGGGGGTTCATCACCAAAAACCCCTCAACCCAAGCTTCCGCCCCGCCGGCGAAAGCAGCCAGGGTAACCAACTCGGACCTCCCACTCACTTCTCCTGGCGGCGCGCCGCCGGCCCTCGTCGTCCGTTTTCATCGTCCTCCCCAGACCCAGACAACCGCCGTCCCGAGTTTCCCGAAACACGGAGCACGGCGCAAGAGGAGGAGGAGGTGGAGGAGGGGAAGGGGGAGGGGGAGGAGGAGGAGGAGGAAGGAGGATGAGAGGAGGAGGAGAGGAGGAGGAGGGAGGAGGAGGAGGAGGCCGAGGAGGAGGAGGAGGGAGAGGAGGAGGAAGTGAGGAGGATGAAGGAGGGAGGAGGATGGGTAGGGGAGGGTGAGGAGGAGAGGAGGAGGAGGAGGAGGGAGGAGGAGGATGAGGATGAGGAGGAGAAGGAGGATTAGAGGAGGAGGAGGAGGAGAGGAGGAAGGAGTGGAAGGGAGGAGGACGAGGAGGAGCCAGGAGGGAGGAGTGAGGAGCAGGAGGAGGAGGAGGAGGACGAGGAGGAGGAGGAGGGAGGAGGAGGAGCAGGAGGAGGAGGAGGAGGAGGAGGGGGACGAGGAGGAGGACGGGTCGCCTAAGCCCTTCGGAGAAACCCTCCAGGCCCGCGTTCCTGGCAGCGTCCCAGGGGAGCCAACGCCAGCCGCGCGCAGGGCCCCCGTCGGCGGGCCCGGGGACGGCGGCCCGAGGGGGCGGATCTTGCCAGCGTCCACTCCGGCCTCGGCGTGACGGCGACGGGGGCGGGGGCGGCGGCGGCGGCGGGGCGCGGCGGGCAGCAGTTCCTCCTCCTCCTTCTCCTCCTCGTCGTCGTCCTCCTCCTCCTCCTGAAATGTTTCCCTTTTTTTTTCCTTGTCCTTTTCCTTTTCCTTGTCCTCCTCCTCCTCCACCTCCTCCTCCTCCTCCTCCATCCACCTCCTCCTCCAATACCTCCCCTATCCACCTCACTTTCCTCCTTCCCTCCACTCCTCTCTTCATTCCTCTACCCTCCCTCCACCTCCTCCTCCTCCTCCACCACCTCCACCTCCTGCCCGCGCCCCCACCCGGGCTCTGCGCTCCAGGAGGGACGAGACGAACCAGCAGTGCCTCTCCACGCTTAGCGCCCCGCCTGCGCCGCCTGGCCGGCGAGCCGGCGAGCTCGGCCAGCATCGCGGCGCGGGCCGCGATCTCACGCTTCCTGCCGAGCGAGCTGCACAGCTGCCGCGCGGCACAACGCGCAGCTCAGCTCCGCGCCTCGCCTGCGGGCCAGCGTGCTCGCGGCCGCCTCCGTTTCCGGCCCGCCCCCCAACGCCCGGGCACGGTCCCGCGCAACCCAGCGCAGGTGCCGCAGCGCGGCCCTGACAGCCAGTCAGTCGCTCGGGGCAGCGTTGGTGCTCGTCCGCCTCTCCCTCGGCGGCCACCGCGCCGTCGCCGTCCGCAGCAGCGGCGAAGGCGCGGTAGCCGCCTGCTTGGGCCCGTGGGCAGAGGCCCCAGCTGCCCGGCAAGGCTGGCCAAGCTTCGCCCGCACCGCCTTCGGCAACCGCTGGCGAAGGCGTGCAACTCGCCTTGGCCCCGGCGCGGGCGGCGCAAAGGCGCTGTGGCAGCTGCTCCTGGCTGCGCCGGCCTGCAGTCCCGAGGAGGCTCGTGAGGAGCTGCTGCGCGAACTCCTGGTCGGGGCGCCCGCGCCTGCCGCCACCGCGCTGGACAAGGGTCAATGCCATGGCGCGGAGGAGCGGAAGGGAGGTGCGAAATGAGGTGGGCAAGGAGCGGGTGAGGAGGGAGGCGGCCAGGCAGTGGCTCCGCCTCCCCCTCCAACTCCTCCTCTTCCTTCCACTCTCCTGCCTCCAAGTCCTCCTCCTCCTCCTCCTCCTCCTCCTCCTCCTCCTCCTCCTCCTCATCCTCATCCTCACCCTCATCATCATCATCATCAACATCATCATCATCATCATCATCACCATCATCATCATCATCATCATCATCATCATCATCATCAACATCATCACACACCTACCACCTTACCACCACCACCACCACCACCGGCCCCCCCCCCCCCTACCTCCACCACCACCACCACCACCACCATCATCATCATCATCATCATCATCATCATCATCATCATCATCATCATCATCATCATGTTCCTCATATTCCTCTTCCTTCTCCTTTGCCTCCTCCTCCTTCTCCTCCTCCTCCTCCTCCTCCTCCTCCTCCTCCTCCTGGTACCATCTTGGCTTAAGCCGCCGCCGCTGGGTGCCCGCGCGCCGCGCTCCCGCCGTCGACCGATGCCAGGTACTGTGGGGACGGATGCCCGCCGCGCGAAGGCGTCGCGCGAGGCCGTGCGCGGCGCGGTCCTCGCGACGCACGCTGCGGCTGGGCTATCGGGCGGCAACCGCGACGCACAGCGCCTGGCGCGGGCCTCCGAGGGCCTGCTGCGAGCCGCGCTGGCGGCCCCCACAGCGCCGCCCGAGCCCCCCTCAGCCGCGCAGGCGCAGGAGGCACCCGCTGCTGCCCCTCGGCGGCGGCGTCCTCGCGGGCGCGGCGGCGCGGCGGGCCCTGGCGAGCGCGCGGAGGACGCCAACTCGGACGAGCAGATGGCCGACGTCGGGGCGGAGGGGAGCGTGGCGATGGTGCCCGCCGCGTCTCCTGACCCGCTGCTGTCCGACGAGTGGGCGGACGACCTGCCTGTGGTACGGCGCGGACGCTTGGCGGGCGGCACAGGCCGTCGCTGTGGCAAGGGGAAGGACTCAGGCAAGGGAGGCGCTGGCAAAGACAAGAGCAGCGGCACGGATCTGGACGGGCTCCGCCAGGACGTCTTCCGCCTGATGAAGCGCTTCGGCCTGCCCTGTGTGCGGGAGAGCCTCCTGTGCCACATGGTGGAGCTCCGCCACATGGCCGAGCGGCTGGACGCCCTCCTCGGCGAGGCGGGCGAGCACGGTGGCGGTGGCGGTGAGGGAGGTCGGCCTCGGCGTCAGCGGCATGGGTAAGACCGCCTTCGCCGTCGGCTACCTCACAGTCGGCGTGGTGAAGGTCGTCGTGGTCGGCCTCGCGGTCGGGGGCCCTGTCCTCTCAGGGCCCCCGTGGTCGGGGGTCCTGTCCCCTCGGGACCCCGCGCGGTCGGGGGCATTGCCCATCGGGGGGGGGGCCCCGCGGCGCCCGACCGCGAAGGTCGCGCGTGCGCGCGCGCGTGGGCTCTCGGGCGCGCGGAGGTGACGACACCGCTTCCTCTGTGGCTCGCTCCTCCTCCTCCTCCTCCTCCTCCTCCTCCTCCTCCTCATTATCCTCCACCTCCTCCTTCTCCTCATCCTCCCCCTGCAGAACTCCTCCCTGTCTCTCTCCGACGCCTTCGAAAGCTCGGGCCAGGCGTTGCACCTGATATTTCCTTACCACGCATGGCCCTGAAACTTACATGCGGTTTTTTTTCTCAGAATGTGACTATCGCTTCAGCGCCGCCCGCATTCGCTTTACACATCCGCAAAAACTTCGCGGATTAAAGGCGGGTCGTTTTCAAGCGCTGCGCACACTCGTCTTAAACATGTGCCACAGTTTCACTGGTGCAGGGCGGGTGGTTTACAATGTGTGGTTCTGGTCTCAGCGCTGCCCTCATTCGCTCTGATAATTGAAAGACGTTCGCAAATTGAGGGCGGGCCGTTTTCAAAATGCGGTTCGCGCCTCACCACCACGCGAATTCGTCTCACAAAACAGCCTCAACTTCACGGATTGAGGGCGGTTCCTTGTCAGAAAGTGGCTTTCGCCTCGACGCCGCGCACATCCGTTTTGAACCCGTTACGAGTGCTACACGGATTGAGGCCGGTTCCATTTCAAGACGTGGCTCTCGATTTAAAGCAGCGCACACTCGTTTCAAACACTAGCAAAACGTTCATGGATTCCCACGGCCAGCGTGACACACACACACACACATTCGATCTGCGGGTCGAGAGCGAGCCTCTTCCGATAGAAGCTAAGCGGGCCGCGCACAGTTTTAATTGACAGAGGGGGGGACAGAAGGAGAGGCCTCACGGCAAGGCCTGGAGGATGCAGAGCCTCGGGATCAGGCGGTGCCGAAGACGACGTGCTTGCAAAGGAACGCCTTGTACAGGAGCCCGGCGGCGAAGTACCGGAAGGAGCAAAATGCTGCCAGCGTGACACACACAAACACAAACGGCGTTTGGGAAGATTGAGGGCTGCCAGGGCGCAGCAGGTGCCTCGACTCGCGGCTTGGAAGCGTCAAAATAGGGGACGGCGTTCTGGCACGACTCGGGGCCGTCGAGCTGCAACCGTCGAGTGGACTCGCGGCGCCGGCTGCCCCCAGGTGATTTTTGGCAAGGCTCGGCAAGGCTCAGGACGCTGGCAGGGCTCAGGACGTGGATCTCGCAGGATGGTGATTCGGCAGAGTGGTGACTTGGCGAGATGGTGATCTGGCAAAATGGTGACCTGGCTAGGGGGGCCACACGCAAACCCTACCCCCATCCCCCTCGATTTCTGGGAGGGAGGGTGGGGTTCACTTCGCCCGGGAGCTCCCAAACGAAATGAACCCCACCCTCCCCCTCAGAGATCGTGATAGGTAGGGGTAGGGTTCGCTTGTGGCCCCCTGTTGGCAAGGCTCCGGATGCTCCAGCGGGCTCCGCGCGGCGCGACGGCGGCCGCCGGCGAGCGCAGGCGACGGGCGGGCCGCGGCTCGAGCGGCGGAGTGTCTGCGCCGGAGAGCCGGGCGGGGCCGGAGCGGAGCCAGGGGGCCTGCCAGCGCGCCAGCGTTCCCTGCGAGCGTGTGCTGCGTCGGCGTTTCGACATGGGGCGGATGGGGGGAGGGGGGGGGGGTCCTGGCTCCGGACCTCTTCTGCTTCGTGCGACTGTTTCCGACCAAGTGCGCCCTACGAGGGGAGGCGCTCCCTCTGCTCGAAGCAGGCGCCAAAAGACAGCCAAGATCCACTCCATGGGGGGGGGGAGGGGGAGGGGGGGGGTGCGAGGGCCCGCGCCGATCGGCAGAACAAAGAACAACAAAAAAGATCACGCGCATGGTTTCGGTTCCGTGGATTTCTTCTTCTCGCCAGATGATCCACAGCACACTCCTTGATGGTCTCGTAGATTTGCTGGCCCAGGCCTCGTCGAGAAACACTGCACACACACACACAAACACACACACACACACGAACGATGCCAAAGGGGGGAGCGTCAAGAGAGAGAAGAAAAAACAAAACAGCATCGGTGTCACGCTGGCCGGACGGCCCCATCAGCGAGCTCCTGCTGAGAAGTGGCCTCGGCGGTGGACAAACCTCCCTTTAGTAAACCTCCCTTTAAGGAAAACGGCCTAGGACAGAAACCGACGGACCTAGACCCGCAAAAATAACGGCCGCGACGCCTCTCGCGAACCGAAAACGGCCAATTCCTTAATCGACGTGTCAGGGTAGGAGGTCTGTCCACCCCCGATGGCCCAGCTCTGAAACATGAAGCCACAACAGATCACCCAAGCAAAAGCGCGAGAGACCTGTGCGGCCCGTGGGGCCCGCGGGACCCGAGAGGCCCGCGAGACCTCTGGGGCCTATTCGACATGTGGGGCCCGTGGGACATGTTGGGCCTGCGATAGGGGAACAACAAGTGACATACACATAAAATTCTGAGGTCCGCGCGGATTTCTCGGATCGGCGCTGGACCCCCCTCCCTGGCGCGCGGAGCGCGCCAGGGGCGGCGCCGGAGGCGCCGCCGGGGGGCCCCAGCGCCGATCCGAGAAATCCGCGCGGACCTCCGAGTTTTATGTTTATGCCACTTTTTGTTTCCCTGTGTGAAGGACGAGGAAACAACAAGGGGAATCCACGGGATGGATACGCGACACGACCTGGCGAGGCTGGGGTTTCGATCCCCCCCCCCCCAGGTGCGCGCCTTGCAGTCGAGGTCATACGTGCCGTTCGTGTGGACTCTGAGCACCTTCGCCTTGAGCCAGGCCTCCCGGAGTGAGCGCGTGCAGAAGCGGTGGGCAGAAGTGAAGGGGCCCCAGGACACACAAAATAAATACACACACATAGAACTATTCCCCATAGTTTCCCATCTATTCTGGGCTTCTGTCTTGCCCCCCACTTCCCATATTTTCCCATATTTTCCTGGAAGTCGACGACTAATTGTGTCTGTGTGTTTCTTTCCCTCCTGACGCACAGGAGGATCTCGTCGTCACGCGCCCGACTTCGAGCTTCCGGTGCCAGACCTGCACTCCACCCCCGAGACGCTTGCGGACCTCGAGCGAGCAGAAACAACACCTGGGCATCGCTAGGACGTCCATTCCCTGTGCTATTTTGGTTTCGTGCGTGGTTTCTTCGCCAAATGATCAAGGATGTTCCTCGATGGTCCTCGCCGAAGGAAACATGCACACGTCCGAGCGATGCCAAGACAACAGCCCAGGCCGCGTGGTCGAAGTTGGGGCAGATCGAGGGAGGGGCCGGCCCAAAGAGGCGTGCCGAGAAAAATTAAAAACCTCGCAATGGGCACGCTCTGGCGCGAGCAGGAGCATTCCTCGCGATATGGCATACCCAAAACACTGTGCCAGAAGAGCCACTCGGTGAAGATGAGGACCTCCCCGTCGCTCGGACGTCCATTCCCTATGTTTTTTTCGGTTTCGTGCGTGGTCTATTCGCAGGATGATCCAAGATGCTCCTTGATAATCCCCGCCGAGCGAAAGTGCACGCGTCCGAGCGATACCAAGGGACTAGGAGGCCGGAAGGAGAAACCACACCATCAGAAAACAGATGAGCATGCGAGGGGGGGGAAGAAGGGACAAGGAAGAGGAGGGAGGAACTGACGCCACGAAACGTCTGGTGACACGTCGAAGCGACCAGAGAGAAGACGAGGCCGGGGGCGTAGGCTGAAAGCGGAGCAGGACGGAGGAGGAGGAGGAGGAGGAGGAGGAGGAGGAGGAACAAGAGAACGTAGGGGGCGGCAGGAAAATGCGTGCACGTAGGAGGATCATGACGAGGAGCGGAAGAACCACAACGACAGAAGAGACTGATGATATGGAGGATGAGCCTCCTTCCCGAATTTCCTCCTGCGAGACTCCGCCCTGCCTCCTCATCCCCCTCCCCCTCCCCCTGCCCCTCCTCCTCCTCCTCCTCCTCCTCCTCCTCCTCTTGCTCCTCCTCCTCCTGCTCTTTCTGGCCCAAGTCGGGTCTGCAAGGGTAGAAACATTGGGAAGGGCAATTCCTTCCCGGCGAACCAAGTATTGGCATCTGGGCTTCCTGGGGGGGCGTCCCCAAGACTCCTGGACTATACACGGTTACCGCGGCCTGGCTGGCGTCACATCCGTCACGGCGCCGCCATGTCGCCGCCATGTGCGTCACAAGGGACGGCACGCCGTGGATCAACCGTGGCGACCTCAAGCAATGCTCCAAATGCACCCTGCATACAGGACTCTGCCATGGTGGTCCCAAAACGCCCAAAAGGAGCCCTGCGACCAAGTCCACGGGCCCACCCAACGCATCTAAGGATCAGTCCGACACCAGTTCCATGGCTAAGCAGCTTGCCGACCTCCAGGCCATGGTCAAAAAGCTCACAGTCGCCAAGTCGCCTCCTCCTTGGGCTGCTGCTTCTGGGTGGAGTGATTATGCTGCTGGGGCGGGCGCCGGATTGGACAGTGGGTACCCCCATGGGGCTCTCACTGGTGACAACGGAGGCACCGCTGACCCGTCGGAGAAGCAGGTCAAGCGTGACCGCATCAAGAAGATCAATGAGCTCCTTCAGGTCTATGATGGATCCTCCGTGGCCTCGGACCTGGCGCAGGTCAAGTCCCTCACCGAAGAGAAAGAGCGTTTGGGCAAGGAGTTCGACGCCGAGCGCCCCTTGGAGGATCAGGTCACCTCCCTCGCCACGAGGCTGCGGAACTCCCGTGCCAAGGCCAAGCGCCTTCGCGAGGACCAAGCTAAGAAAGAGCTGAACATCGACGAGCTGGTTGCCAAGCAGACGGTGCTCCAGGACTCCTTGGCCGAGGCAGATGCCGAAGTCTTGCGGCCGGAGGGGGAGGTCCAGCGCTTGGGCGCCGACCGAGCCCCTCCGCCCACTGCTGGCAAGCCCACGTTCCATGAGCTGCTGCCGAAGTTCGCTGTCAACGTTTAGCAGTTTGGCGAGTTGGCCGTGGAGCTCGGCCTAGACCCCAGTCTTCAGGCGGAACTGGAGACGACGGCCAATGTCTTCGGGAGGCTCCATGAGCTTCCCCCGGCGAAGCCGCCGGCGGCACAAGCGCCCTCTGCATCCCCTGCTCCTCCGACCCCTGCTGGGGAAGATAGAGGAGGAGTTGCGTCCACCGCCGCTCTCCTCGCGGGCCAGGTGCAGGCCCTCACTGAGGATGCTGCCAGGGACGACATGGAGATCGACATCGACCTCGTGGAGTCCGCCGAGTTGCGGGAGGCGTTGGAGGCGGCAGGCCTCGCGCAGCCTGACGACGCCACCGACGTGGACATGCGGGTGGCGTACAAGCGTGCCCTCGGCCCCACTCATTCACGCGTGCGGCTACGGCGCACAAGAGGAAGAATAAAGCTCGATCAGCCCCTTTTTCCCAAGGCAGAGCCTGCCAGCGCGGCTACACGAAAGGCACGTGCCATGCGCAGATCACTCGACGTGAGTGCTACGCGTCAGCCTGTTAAGACGGAGTGCGCGGCCATCAAACAAGCAAGGAGTCCTATGGGCGGAATGTCATCCGTGGCCCCCCGCGCGCTGACAGCACGCACCACGTGCAGGCTGTCAGCTGGGGCCTTCCTGGCAGGAAGTACTGCACGGAATGTCAAGGTTAACGCGGGGCGCCCGCAGGGCAGCACGAACAATGCGCACGTTGCTCCTAGGTCGCGTCCTGGCTGCATGGGTCCGCCTCCGCTGGACGAAGAGCAAATTGTGTATCCAACCAGTGGCCACTACTGATCTAGCCCGTCGCTGGCAACCTGTACTCCTGCCCGCGCGTCTTCACCGCGTGCGGCGCGCCCGCGTGGATGGACCTCGGTGCTGTTATGGTGCGTGCCTGTTCACCCTTTTCGAGGCGGGCTCTGCTGGGGCCCCCGACAGCGGTGGGAGGGCAAATTCTGCGGCTGACCAGTCCGCGGGCTTGCTCCGCAACTGGCGGAAAACACCACCTCGATACCGAGCTGGCGGCAGCGACGCAAGCATGCCAGAGGGTCGCGTTCACTTTGTGCAGGGCCCCAGCACGGCCATGCCTGATGCTGGCGACGCGCGCTGTCAGGCGGCGGCCAAGCTGGTCACGGTCAACCCTGGCTCTCACGGGCCACTTCTCAATGTCCTGCCGCACTTCCTCGGCAAGGTGGTGATGGTCCAGGAGACGCGGGTGGTCGACCAGCGGCTTGGGGCCGTTCAATCTGCTGCGCGCGATGCAGGTTGGCACGGCCTCTGGGTTCCCGCAGAAGAGACGGGGGGAGCGTCCGCGGCGTCGCGTTCCAGTGGGGTCTGCGTGCTCGTGCCTACCGACGTGACGGTCACGATGCCGCCCGATGGGGATCATGTCGTCTTTCCACATCATGCCGTGGCAGCTCATGTTCACTGGGGCGCCCCTGGTGATCTGATTGGTGCAGGGCATCGGCGTCACTTGGGCCAACCTCTCGATCCCTATGGGCGCGTGCGAAGCGCGCGGCGGCGTGGAACGCACGCGGCCTCGACTGAACCATCGTGGGCGACTGGGTTGGGTCCTCGGCAGGCACTCTCCTCCAGCCGTCGGCCTCTACGTGCGTCACCTCCAACGGGGTGTCCACCGTCGACTACTTCTTGGCGGCCAGCAACCTCGCGCCCCGTGTCTCTCGCCAGCCCGAAGTGATACATGGATGTGGGAGCATTCCCAGACCCCGCTACCCCGTGGGTCTGGAGCTGCATGGGAAGGGCACGCCGACGCGGTGCCGCGTCCCCGATGAGCCTCGACCACTGCCTGCTGTACCCCCTCTTGGCTGTGCTCGATTCCCCTTTCCTTGGCATACTTTGGACAGCCTATCAGTGCGAGCAGCTGCGCCGCACAGGGTTGCCGGCGCGGACCATGTCCAGTCCAGGCCCGATCGGGGCCGATGCAGGTCCTTCGATCACTTTGGTCCATGAGGCAAAAGCGCGATCGATCGGGGCGCGCGGGCCAACGTCACCGCCGTCGGACCTGGGCCCATGGACAAGCCGTCGGCGAGGCAAGCACACCCGATGATGCCTTGCAGCAACTCTGGGACTCCGTTCTGCAGGGCGTTGACTACGAGACCGCAAGCAAGCACGACAAAGTTGGCCCTAGAGCCAACCGCTTCGTCGGGCACCACGGCCCCCCCGAAGGTGAAGTAGCGGCAGCTGCGGTGGGAGCCACCTCGCAAGCGGCTGTACCACGACACCACAGTCTGGGCTTGGGCGACTGTGGCGCGCTGGGCTACTCATCTTCGTGCTGAGCGTGATCGGGTCCAGCGTTTTTGTCACTTGTCGAATGCGGTGGCGGCGCATGCGTCCCCAGCTCCCAGGCAGCTACAGAAGACGGCCAGTGTTTCCTACGACATCATCTGCTTCCTGAGCCCCATTGTCTGGCAGGATAAAGTCCTCGCCAACATCGACCCCTGCTACCGCCAGATATTCCTGCGCGGGCTGGACTGGCTGATTGGAGGACTTTGATGGCATGGTAGGTGCCACCGTGGGCCGCGCGGAAAAACTCACTGCCGCGGCTTGCGGCGCGTCGGAGAGAGCCTGACGCAGCTGGGCTCAGGCGGCCTTCAATGGGGGAGCGACGTCTGCCCATGCTGCACCCAAGGTCAGGGCGCAGCAAGAACTCGTTGCCCCTGAGGCCGACGCCCAGCCATACATCCTCGCGGACCGCACCATGGACGAGTGGATGCAGATCTGGGCGACCCATGGGCTGGAAGAGCTGCCTCTACCAACGGATGCACCTACGTGGGAGGGGCTGCCTAGCCTGACGGTCCATGACCTACGGCAGGCCATCGGATCCTTCTCTCTCGTCACCGCCTCGGGGCCCACCCGCATGCCACCCAGGGCGCTCGAGCACTCATCGGATGAGGCTCTCAGTAGGTTGGCCCAGACGTTCGAGGTCTTTGGGCTGCACTTACGGTTTCCCTCAGGCCGCCTGTATAGTGAGATGGTCCGTCTCCCTAAGCCTGATGGCCGCAGGCTGATTGTGCTTAGGCATGGTCTCATACGAGTTGGGGCGAAAGCACGCCGATGGCTGTCGGCAGAGTGGCAGCGACTGCACAATTGCGACGAAATGTGGTGGTACTCGAAGCAGCCACACATCCACGGCCTGAGCTTCCGCTCGCAATCTGGAGCAAGAGGTGGGAAGCCTCATCGGCGACCACACTTGTACCATCCCCCTAGACATGGTGAAATACTTCGACATGGTGAGTCCCCATACGCTCTTGCGGGAGGCACGGGGGCTGGGTCGCACGACGCGCATGCTCTGGATGTTGCTGCAGCTCTACCAAGCAGCCACGGCTCAGCAAGGCGTACGGCAGCCTCTCGTGCTCCTTCGTCGCGGGGTGCACATGCCATCTACCCCATCTACCTGCTGACGCACCGCGCCCTCCGGCGGGCCAGCAGGGTTGCGCCGACCATCGAGCCGCATTAGCTGGTGGACGACATCGGCCTGCATATGGTCCCCCCCGACATCGGTGATGTCAAACTGCTGCTGCGCACTGCGATGGTGCTACCTGCAGAGGCCGGGGGCCTCGGGATTCTTCTCCAACCTGCTATGTCCGCGGTAGTGGCTGGATCAGCGCAGATCCGCCTTGTGGTGCACAGGGCCCAGCGGCGGCTGCCTCGGGCAGTGCCCCAAGCCCGACACATGCGCAACCTTGGCCATGAGCTGCATGGCCCGAGTGCTGAGGCAGGTTGAGTAGAAGCGCATGAAGGCCGTGCGGGAGCGCAAACACCGCCTCCTCATGCTGCATCGCGCGGTAGGGCGCAAAGCCTCCAATCTGTGGCGGGCTGGGCTCATGCCGCCCGCAGGGCACGGCGCTGGAGCCTCGGGTCTGGCGGGCGCGCCCCTACGTGAGATGCGCGACTTGGCCGCGGTGCTAAACGGGCGCAGTGACAAACGCCACGTGGGCGTCACGGTATACCTCCTTACCCCCCCTTCGGAGGAGTACGACCCCATCTATCCTGCCACGCTGGACCTGGTCTTGAACTACGCCGCCTGGATTTGGGATGGGCGCGTGCCACCTCGCCGCCTTCAAAGGGCTTGGACAGCGCTCCATGAGCGGCTTGTCCCTATCAGTTAGGCCGGTGCCAGAGGTACCCTGGCCGCGACGCGGCTTTCGCTCAAGCGGCTAGCCTGGAACATGAAAGCGCCGCGCGTCTTGCAGGACGACCTGGGCAAACAGTTTGACCTGTGTCGCGCGTGCCCTGCTGGCCCGCGTCCGCTTTTGGTGCAAGGCGCGCAGCGCTGGCAGCACGACCGCCTCACCATCCACAGTGCTCCCGCGCTGGTGCGCCCATCTGGCACCGCGGGCCCAGGCGCGCGGTCAAGGGCGTCCGTGCCGCAGGGCAGCTGGGGGCGTCGCAGGCGCTATGGTCTGGCAACGTACCCATGCCGATCCGTAGGGGCATGAAGCTCGGCATGCCCATGCGCCCTTGCCAGGCTTGCGGGGCGGCCATTGCGCCCAATGGATGCTGGCGCCGTGTCTTCTTGGAATGCCCCGCGCTGCTGACCCGCCCCCTCGCTGGGGAGCTGCGACCCATGGAGCGGGAGCCGACGGACCATGTCCAAGGCCTGCAGAATCCAAAAATGCAGCAGGGCTTCGGCGACCTACGCTAGCAAACTCGCGTCAACCTGGAGAGTCGGGCCGACTCTACTCTGCCGACCCGCCAGGATGGAGGCCGATGACAACTTCTTTCTAAGCATCGGGCAAGGGGTCGATGAAGAGGTCGACTTTGCGCCACCCGATGGGCGCGACGGCCGTCGAGAGAAGGCGCGGCTGAACGCGCAGAGTCCCCTGTGCGCCACCGGTTGTTCCGGAACAGAGTGGCCCGTTGCCCCCTGCGGCGGCGGCTCCAGCCTCGGCGCCCGATGCACGGCGCGGGCGCGGCGGGCCCGAGACAGCGACACCAGCGCTGAATGGCCGCGGTATGTTCCACCTCCCCCATGTGCTGGCTGAGGCGCGCGACCAGCTTATCCAAGCGGGTCTTGGATCAGGCACGCCGAACTTCGAGCAGTCCTACCTCGTTTTTGGCATACCCGAGCCTCCCGCGCATCTGCCACGCGGAGATACGCGGGCGCATGATGTCTGCCTTTTGGGCGACACCCATGGCGTTTGGGGCCCCGTTTCTTACGCCGACGGGTCTGGTTACGACTCAGGTGTTCCCGGGGTGTGGAGATGCGGAGAAGCTGCTGTGCAGCTTGATCCTTGCTATTGGCCCCCAGGTTCGGCGCGGTTCGGGCCTCTTCCGCATTTGGCGCAGACTGTCGGGCAGACTGTCGGCCGTGCTGAGAGGCGCGCGGTCAGGGAGGGGCTCGACGCTTTCCCTGACCGCCACCAGTGCTTCGTAACTGACCTGCTGGCGCTCGCCCAGGAAGGAGAGCGTCGGCGTCCCGAGCTCGAGCAGGGTCGCGCCAAGCCTGTTCGAGCGTGGCGGGGCATCTTCGTGGCCAGCCGCAGGCGCACTCTGCGGGGCCCTCCCAAGTTCCGATGGACGCCAGCGCGCAGGTCCTTGGAGGAGCTCACGGGCGCAGAACCGCAGGAGCTGCGTGACTGGCCAGGCAGCGGCTGGGCAGATTACTTCGCGCGCTGTGGTGCCGCCTCTCACGCGCTGGCTGGGTTGGTAGCTGAGGCGGCAACAGCGGCGCCGAAGCAGCACCGCAAGGTCCTGCAGTTCATTTCGCGGGCGGCACTGCAGGTGGGAGCAGGCCAGGCCCATTGTGGTGGCGCGCAGTACGGACCATGTCCTTCCTTACTGCGCCAACCTCGGGCGGCGCCGATGCACCCGATGCGGAGTCACGGCCGCAACGGGCTCCTCCCTCGAGTCGCTGTAAAATGGCTCTCATCGTGTACGTCGCCCTTCGCGTGCTGTCAGAGCTCTCAACGCCGAGTACTTCCGCGCCTTCGGCGAGGGCCGGGTTCTCTGCAACGACCAGAGGGCTGGCACGGCCCTGGGCGCGGCCTTGGCGCTCGAAGGGAGCTCGCAGCCCTCGGCCCCCGCAGCCTTGATGCCGCCTGCCCTGGCCGAAGGGGTCGGGGGCGCCTTCGCTGCGCTCGGGAACGACGTGTTCAGGGGCAACACTGCTTACTGTTGCAGGCGCTGTGGGTCTCACTGTGCTGCAGGAGATGTCGGCACAGTGCGGAAGCTTGGCATGAATGGCGATGGGCTCTCGCCCTACGAGTCCACGCGCCGCAACCAGCAAGATGCGATCAGGCGCGTCGAGCAGGGGCCTGGCGCCTAGTGCTCGACGTACCCCAGCAGCGCCGCCCCCGCAGAGGGGGCTCCTCTTGCAGCCACGCGGCGCGTTGATCGACCATGTCGTGATTCGCTGCCGTTCCGTCGGCTGGTGCACGGCGTCTTCTTCGGTGGCGACGCCTCCTTCGTCGGCGGCAACTGGGCCTGCGCCCACGGCCTTGAGGCGACTTCTTCCAGTTGCTCTCCTTCTACACCGCCTCCTGCTCTTACGGCGCCGTGCCGTGAATAGGCGGCGCCAGGGGGTAGTCCTTCGCGCGCCCGCGTGCGCGGCGGGAGACCTTCCTGAGGCGCTGCGTTCCTCCTCCTCCTCCTCCTCCTCTTCCTCCTCCTCCTCCTCCTCCCTCTTCCTCCTCCTCCTCCTCCTCCTCCTCCTCCTCCTCCTCCTCCTCCTCCTCCTCCTCCTCCTCCCCTTCCCTTCCGAAACCAATTCCAAACCGCACAACAGCTGCCCGCACACATCAGAATCATATACACACACACGCACACAACGAAACCCATCGAGCACCTCCAAAGACGTCATCCCTGCCCCCACTGCCACCTTCGCCCCTTCCCCCCCCCCGCCCATCCCGCGCGCGGGATGGGCGCGCAACCACGACGACGACCACCACGACGGGGACCACCACCACGACGAGGACCACCACGGGGAGTCGTCGGCGACGACTTCCGCTGCCGAGGCAGGCGCGGACGCCGCATGCTGCGCGGGGCTGAGACACGCGGGGGGCGCCGTCGCTGCCATCGCCGCCCCCAGCGTCGTCGCCGTCGCCGAAGATGGGAAAATCGAGAAAGACCGACAGAACAACAACAAAAATCAAAACCACTGCGGTCCTCCCTGGCGTTCTTCGGCCTCTTGGAGAGGCCCCGAAGCTTCTCGCCGCCACAGCTGGAACGACTCTAAACCGATGCTAAATCGACGCTAATCGAAGCCACATCGGCGCTATCCCATCGACTCCTGGACGCTAATCGACGCCACAGACAGACTTCAGAGGGTATACCAGGCTCCCATGAGATGCTACCGAAGTAGCCGCCTCGAGACACGGGCTGGAATGAACCCCGGGAGGGGTCTGTGGGTCTGGGGACAGACTTCGAGCGGCTCCTGCTCCGGCGGGGATCGAGGCTCCCCCGCCTCAGCAGGGCCTCCTCCGACACCGCTGCCGCCACTCTCCGGACTTCTGGGGCGCGTGCTTCTCATCAGGATGCTTCCGAGGCGAGCCCAGCCGTGGGCGATAGGGGCTCCCAAAGAGAGGGCAGAGACTCCACCCTCAAAGTGAATCGCCCCGACACGCAAAGTCGTTGGGCAAACTCACCCGACGAAGGCACCGAACAGCGCAGAGCTGTCTAGCACACGCCCAAGGCCATTCCCATCCAGTCAACGCTCTCCGACGGCCTCCGGGCCCAACGAGAGCCCCCGGGAGGCCCGCGCACGGCGAGGGTCATTCTCCAGCACGTGGGGAACTGCCTGCTCCTGCTGTCGCATTCGCCTCCTCCTCCTCCTCCTCCTCCTCCTCCTGGTGGCGGGCGCGGGTCGCCTGCTGCGACGCGCTGAAGTACTCCACCATCTGCCCCGCCTCTCGCGGGAGGGGGGGAGGGGGGCGGCAGGTACCGACCTGCCCAAGCGGCTTCCTCCAGTGCCACGCTGACGGCGATGTTAATTCAAGGCGATGTTGGGAATCTGGTTGATGCGCCGCCGAGCCCGCGCAGACCAGGTGATAGGAAACCGCGAACCACGCTTTCCTGCAATCGGGTTGGCCACGAACCACCCCCACCTGCAATATATTCCGAATCTGGCATCGCAATTACCTGCATCGCCGTTAGCGTGTCTACGGTTTCTTCTGTGAACAAAAAGGCCAGTCCTGGAGACCAGGCTCTGGCGGCCGAGCGGCCGCCTCGAGTGGCTTGGCTTGGCATCACTCGGCGAGGACCGTGCCGCCCGGGGCCGCTCCGTCCAGCGCGGCCGCCAAGTGTCGCGCCCAGGCGACGTCCGATCACACCAGGGAGAGGGGTCTCCTGGGCTGTTTCGGCGATCGCATCCCCTGATGACAGATGCTGTGCTCCCCACCACGCGGCGGCAGAGGAGCAGGAGGCACGCGAGGGTGGTGGCTGGAGGGCGAGGAGGAGGAGGAGGAGGAGGAGGAGAAGGAGGTCGTGGCTCCCACCCTCCCTGCCCCCCGGCCGCTGCGCCCCTCTCCGCTGCCCCCCCCCCCTCTCTCCTCCAGAGCCTCGCGCCGCGCCTCCGAGCGAGACTCGGCTGCAGACGGCCCGCCCTCTCCCATGAATCCGCGCGGGCTCCCCGCGCGGCACCCGATGGACGCCGGTCGTCCCCCCGCTTTCTTTGTTCGCCACGCCGATATGTGTGTATATGTGTTGTATATGCATGTGTGCATGTGCATGCAGGTACGTCTGTGTGTATGTATGGTTGTATGTATGTGTGTATGAATGTACGTATGCTTGTACGTATGCATGCATGCATGCATGCATGCATGTGTATGTATGTATGTATGTATGTATGTATGTATGTATGTATGCATGTGTGTATGCATGTATGTATATATGCATGTATGCTTGTATGTATGTATGTATGTATGTATGTATGTATGTGTGCATGTGTGTATGAATGTATGTATGTACGTATGTACGTATGTATGTATGTATGTATGTATGTAGGTAGGTATGTATGTATGTGTGTATGTATGTATGTATGTATGTATGTGTATATGTACGTATGGATGTATGTAATCATGTATGCATGTATGTATGTATGTATGTTTGTTTGTAGTTTTGTGTATATAAAACGATGTGTAATTGTGGATGTATGTAGATATGAATATAAACGGACGTATAGGTGTGTATGGATGCATGCATGCATGCATACATGCAAGCATGTATGCACGTATGCCTGTATGTATGTAGGTATGTGTGTGCATGTATGTATATATGCACGTGTGTGTATGTATATGTACATGTATGCATGTATGTCTAGATGTGGATATACAGGTATACGCATGCATGTATGTGTATGCATGCGTGTGCGTACGTACGTACGTATGCATGTATGTACGCATGCGTGAACGCATGTATGTGTGTATGTATGTATGTATGTATGTATGTATGTATGTATGTAGGGCTGTATGTCTATGTGTGTACATGTGTGCAAGTATATGTGTGTGTAAATGTATATAAACGCATGCATGGCTGTACGGGTGTGTGTATGTGAATGTATGTATGCATATACGTATGTGTGTAGTTACGTGTGCAGTTATGGATATGAGTATGTATGCATGCATGCATGTATGTATGTATGAATGTATATACGAACGTTTGTATGGTCGCATGTATATGTGTATGCATGTATGTATGCATGTATGAATGTAGGTATGCATGCAGGTGTGCATGTATGTAGGTATGTGTGTATGTATGTATGTATGTATGTAGGTATGTAGGGATACAGTCATGCATATATGTGTATATGTATGTCTATATGAGTGTATATATACATCTATGTGTATGTATGTATGTATGTATGTATGCATGTGTATATATATATATATATATATATATATATATATATGTGTGCATGTATGTATGCATGTATGTATGTATCCGGCCACCTTCTGACGACCTTTGCGTGTACCTTCAGGGAGGGCTACGATGTAGAAGGTCGCTGGCTCTTGGGGGTGACCTATACACAGCCGCCCCCCTTTGACGCCCAAGAAAAGTCCACTGGAGGGTGTCGGTGTATATGCTTTGGTTGTGGACTTTCTCTTCTCAGCGCGCGGGACTGCTGCACGGACCCCGCGGCAACGAGAGAAGAGCGGCGACAGGCGACGAGGCGGCACGACAAAAGACGCGGGGAGTGGCGGAGAGGGGGGGCATCGGAGGGAGGGAAGAGGGGGAGAAGACGCGCCCAGGGCGCCCGCCCAGCGCGCCGACCTGGCCGGGGTGGGCCATGGGTAATCGGGCCCCATGTCGGCGAAGAGCTGTTGATTGGCGGTCGATGCGTCCCCCCCTGAGCCCGTGCCCCTATCCTTGCCCCCCTGGCTTCGGGCCCTGCGTCGGCTCTCCGTCAACTGCCTGGCACGCCTTGGGCGCCCCCGGGACGCTCTCGACGAGGCGCAGCCGCTGAAGGCACCCCGAGGCGGGGAGCCCCCGCCGAGAACTTCGAGGAGAGCGCCCGCAGACCTCGAACCTTGACCCTCCTCCTGCCTCCTCCTGCTCGTCCTCCTCCTCCTCCTCCTCCTTCCTCCTCCTCCTCCTCCTCCTCCTTTTCCTCCTCCTGCTCCTCCTGCTCCTGCTCCTGCTCCTCCTCCTCGACCTCCTCCTCCTCTCCTCCTCTCCCTCCTCCCCTCCTCCTCCTCCCCTCCCTCCCCTCCTCCCCTCCCTCCCCCTCCCCCCTCCCACCCCTCCCCCTCCCCCTCCCCCCCCTCCCCCTCCCCTCCTCCGCCTCCTCCTCCTCCTCCTCCTCCTCCTCCTCCTCCTCCTCCTCCTCCTCCTCCTCCTCCTCCTCCTCCCCCTCCTCCTCCTCCCTCCTCCCTCCTTCCTCCTCTCCTCCTCCTCCCCTCCTCCTCCTCCTCCTCCTCCTCCTGCCTCCTCCTTCCTCCTCCTCCTCCTCCTCCTCCTCCTCCTCCTCCTCCTCCTCCTCCTCCTCCTCCTCTCCTCCTCCTCCTCCTCCTCCTCCTCTCCCCTCCTCCTCCTCCCTCCTCCTCCTCCTTCCTCCTCTCCTCCTCCCCCTCCTCCTCCTCCTCCTCCTCCTCCTCCTGGGGTGGCCTGCGGCCCCGGAGGAAGCCGTGCAGATTGCCCATCCTTGCCATGCGAGTTGACTGTGACCCTCGGGCGAACGTGCACACGGTTAAATACCCCACGGCGCGGCCCGCGGCCGGCGGCCTTGTAGCTGGCGCCCGGCACCAGGCCCAGCTCGGCGCCGTCGGCGCCCTGCCGGGCGAAGCGCGGGGGCCCTCCCTGCCCGAGGCCCACACGGGGCATGCGGGCTACGAGCTCGCCCTGGCGCGCAGGGAGGGCGGCCAGTGCTGGCGGCGCGCACGCGGGGGTGGATGGAGGGGGGAGGGCGTCTTAGGAGGTAGCTGCTTCTCAGAGGGCGCTGGCCCCACATCTATAGATGAGGCCCGCGCCTGCTAAGCAGGGGTGTTTCTAAGGAGCCCTCCCTCCTCCCCCCCCCCCTTCTGCGCGGGGTTGACAGCGGCGGGGGGGGGGAGGGACCTTCCAGCGGAGGGCCATAGTCGAGACAGCGGCGGCCCCCCCCGAGGCGCTCTGCGCTCTCTCCCCCCGAAAGCGGGGAGCGGGTCCTGTCCGGCAGAGGCTTACAATGATTTGAACGTATTATTTAAGCTTCGGTATTTCGATGTGGTCGGCAATCGTTTTAAATAAAAACAAATGTGGTTGTTTATATTTGGATAGCAGGTAATTAAGTTAAGTGTTCGGGACCCCCCCTCAAACTTAAATGTCCGCCAAAAGGCACCGAGCTCTCCTCATCACGTTCCCTTCCCCATCCTTCTCTACTTCCCATATCAAAGCATCATTCATTAACGTGGGGATGATGGCGATAATGCAGCGTCGAGTGCACTACGCTTCCAAGTGCGACGCCGCATCGACACCGCAAGCCTGCAATGCACGCGCGTCGCCCGAGGGGTCCTTTTCGAGGCCCCGGGCGATTGCATTGCCCCCCCCCCCCAAGCGCGTGCCCGAGCACACGCATGCGCGATACGCAGTAGCATTGCATATCATCTCACAATGTATCATAGCATTCAGGTTCAAGTCGTCATGGAGGAGGAACTTCCTCCCCCCCGGGTGCCATCATGGGCCCGTTATACATTTGATAATGGGATCCCTCAGGGGGACCTAACACCCCCCGAACGCCTTAGGTTTGCACAATGGGACCGTACTGCGTACAACGGGGGGCAATGGGTGAAGTTGGCAAGAGTCTATTTTCGTTTGGATTTCGACCCGAAGATCGACACAAACGTGTTCGTAAAGATGGTGCGCGCCTACTGCAGCGATTGGAACAAGCAAAACAAAGGGGTGCAAACGTGGTGGGGAAGGTTCACGGGGAGGGGGGAAAGGGTTGCCGCATCGCACGATTCCATTGGCTGTTTCGGCCATGCCCGCGCGCCCGCCTGCCGCAGTGATCAGTGGGTTTAATTATCACGTACTGCGGGGCGGGTCGTTTGTTTCACTTCCACGTGCGTCAGAAACTTGTGCGCGATTGTGTTCTCTGCTTCGAATGGATGCCTCATTGGCCCCCAACGACAGCGGAGAGGGTAGGGGGCTCAAGAGCGTTTGCCCGAGGCCCTCGGATGGCATTGCGCACGCAGCTGGCGGACTGGGCAGCGAGAGCGATCATAGCCCAGCCGCCGCGTGACGTTTCGAGGACTGCGTGACACGTTCCTTGTCAAAACGATGAAGCGGAGGCTGGAGGAAGGAAAGCAGGATTGAGAGGAGGAGGAGGAGGGAAGTGGAGGAGGATACATATTTTTCCAAACCCATCTCGGCCGAAGCAGCCGATTAGCGGCGCAGTCAGCTACTGCCTGGCGCCGCGGCGGGCTCCGCCTCAGAGGCGCCGTGGGCGTCGGCGTCGGCGTCGGCATCGTCGACCCACGGGCCCAACGCAGAATCTGCGGCGCCATCGGGATCTTCCGCAATCCTCTGAAGAAGCTTGAGCTAGATCAACATCGCCGTGATGTGGTCCATTTGGGCAGCTAGCCCCCTGATCAGCCTGGCCCGCAACCGATAAGCCGAGGGCGGCAAAATGCGGAGCGGAGCAGCATAACGCAGATCGCCATACCCAAACAAGACATTCTTGGTAATGAAGAGCGTCTTCCGGTGGGCAGTCAACATCTGCCCCATCACCTTGGCCATGGCACCAATCACGCTCATGTGGCTGACCGTGTCCTTCGCCACCGCATGCGCCTCGTCGACTTCCCGGTGGATCTTCATGGTTTGAGCCGCGGCCTCGTCGGAAGGCGTCGGGCCACCCGGCTCCCTCGGCGCCAATATCGGGCGGGAGGTGCAGGGCCCGCCGCGGGGCCCGACCACGCGGTATCGAACGCCATTTGCGCCGCGCACGATGCCCCAGTCATGGGGCGGCCCGTTCATTGGCGTCATGTAGAAACGAGTGGAGCCCGTTCAAATTCAGCCAGAAACTGGCTACGGAGGGGGGGGGGGAGGATGAGAGCGGCGTGGCCGAAGCAGCCAATGGCCCGCCCACGCCCGAGCGGGGGCGGCCCGGGGCGCGTTGGAGCAGGGGGTCTTGCTGATGAGGAGGACCCATTCAAAGCATGAGGAGGAGGGCCCTTTCAAGCTGAACCCATAATGGGTAATGTTTGGGCCTCCTTGCTGAACCTATAATGGGTCATTTTCGGGCCTCCATGCGGAGCCTATCATGGCTGAACATATAACATGGGTCCTTCTGGGGCATCCGTGCTGAACTTATATTTTCGAGCCTCGGCGAAGCATCTCACTGAGGAGGAGGGGGGGGGGGGCAGGAGGAAGGGGAGTGGACCACCAATGATATCTCGCATCGCAGGGGAGGGATGGGAGGGGCAGAAGGACGCATGATGGAATGGGAAGTCGAGACGGAGGAACGAGAGAGCGAAGATGGAGGTTGCGATGGCGATGTTTTTTTACCTAACAGCGAAGACTAATAGGTTTCTAATGGAGTCAAAAGAGAGCATTTGATGACTCCCCAGGGGGGTCTGGGCGGGAGCCGGACAGGCGAGGGCTGGGCTCGCTTTAATCAAACAGTCACACACTTCGTGCTCTCCGACCTCCCAGAACTCTACTCCCAGGCCACATTTTCAATGCCCAGAACCAACTGTGCGTGCTCTTGGACTTCCCAGAACTCCACTCCTGGGCCACATTTTGAATGCCCGGAGCCAACTGCAGGCCACTTCGTGCTCTTCGACTTCCCAGAACTCCATTCCCAGGCCACATTTTGAATGCCCGGAGCCAACTGTAGGCCACTTCGTGCTCTTGGACTTCCCATAACACCATTCCCGGGCCACATTTTGAATGCCCGAAGCCAACTGTACGCCACTTCGTGCTCTTCCACTTCCCAGACTTCCAAGACTCATCATCTTCATCATCATCATCGTCCCCGTAGCCTTCTTGGCTACAGTTATCGTTGGAGATACCGTTATTGAAAGCAGTGTTTCTACTGCTACTACCACTGCTCCCATTACTCCTACTCGTTCACTCCACACACTACAACTACTACTTCACGGTTACCACTACTACCATCACTACTACTACTACTACTACTACTACTACTACTACTGCTACTACTACTGTTACTATTACTGCTGCTGCTGCTGTTGCTGCTGCTCGTGTAGCTAATGCTACTGCAACTACTGGCAGTGCCACTGCGAGTGCCGCTGATGTTGCCACTGCGACTGCCACTGCGAATCCGAATGCGACTGCGAGAACACCAGAATTCTACAACAGCGCTCTGACATGAATACCACAGGCAATGTTTCCAGCTATGCTTCTACACATCGCGGTTAGGTTGCTTTGCCGGGATAATTTCAGTGCTACGGCCGAAGCAGCCGATGCGTTAATTTCCCACGCACGTGCAAATTCCGCCGTGTCCTGGGTCAGCCACGGCGCGGATTCCAAAAAGGGTCGATCAGCCCTACGCCGTGAGAGTTCTCCGGGAGCGGCATGAACCTAGGCTCACTCCAACACCATTTGTAAGTGGTTTGGCTCTGCGTAGATACCATTCGCGTCATCGGCATCTGCGTCGGCGCCGTTGGCGTCGGCGTTGGCACCGTGGCGTCGGTCGGCGCCGTTGGCGTCGGCGTCGCTGTCGGCGGCGGCACCGCCATGTGGATGGCGGCGGTCGGCGCCGGCACCGCCACGTGGATGGTCGCGGCGCCAGTCGGCGTCGGACGTTTGGGGCGCCGCCGCTCCCAGACCCATGTCGCAATCGCGCTCTAGACTGCGCCGCCGGCGAGGATGGCCATTGCCAAGGTGTAGATGATGCTGGCGCCGCCGTCGTCTGCCGCCACGCGGTTGGTCGCGGCGGCAATCGTTGGGCCCGGGCAAACCTGAGCTGGAACGGGCGGGCGAATGACGACGCAATGACAATGAGGAGCGTGTAGATCATGATTGGGCCAACCATTGGGGCCGCGATGAATGTTTGAATGCTGATGGCGATGCTTCGGGTTATCGCAGGGGCCGTCTCGGAGCCGCGGGGGGGGGCCCCCCCCAAACCAAGTCGGTTGTCGCTCAACTGTCAGAGGACTGGCGGAGCGCGCACGCGTCGTGGAGGGAGGAGATGGCGGTTGAAAAGGAGGGCGTAGAAGGGATGGGGGATGCGGAGGATGAGGACGAGGAGGAGGAATTATGCTTTTTCCTTTGCGCTCCAGAGAGCCGCGGCCGAAGCTGCCACAGAAATCCCGCGATCCCACGGCGAAGCACTAATTCTTATCTGAATCCTCGTCGGACTCCCGGGGGCCCCTCAATGGCAACGTCTTCTGCGTGTCATCGTCCGAAAGCGGCGTCGGATCCAACGTGTCAGAAAAATCGAGCCCCTCATCGCGCGTACGCGCACGGCTCGGCGGCGAACGGCTGCGGTCCTCAATGGGCGGGTAGGCTGCGGCAGACGTGGCGACCCAGTCGGCGCCAGCTGCCACCGCGAAGCCGAAGGCGTTCGCCGCCCTGCGGAACTCGCCCTGGTCGAACTTCTCGCTGAACTCGCCCTGGCGCTTACCGTGGAGTTCGTCCCATGTGTTCATCTCCTTCTTGAGCCCAATGGTAAATTCCCATTCGGCCGCCCACCGCATCTGCTGGGTGCGCTCGATCTTCTCGGCCAGCATGATCAGCATGTCGCTGCGGCCGCCAGCGCCCAGACACTGGGCTGCGATCAGGGTCAGGTCGCTGAATCCTCGCGCACGTGATGCTGGAACGTGTCGTCGTCAATCAGGATGTGCGCCGCCTCCGCCCATGTGCGCATCTTCGCACTTGCTTCGCAACGAATCGCATGGATGACGCCGTCTTGGTCGAGGTCAACGTAATCGTCCGAAAGGCCACTGAGGAAAACCGACATTGCGTCTTGCATTTTCGTGTGGGGCTGGACAATCCGCCAATGAATGATGATACATTGGCAGCCTTGAACACAAGATGGCCACGGAACGTGACGACGCACACTCACTCATATTCATTCAGACACACTCAAGTTCATAACTCGCAGTCTGACCCACTCGACCTCATACCGATTGGCACTGATGCCCAAGCATTTTTCCCACAGCACCACCGCAAGCCCGATGCAGAACTGGACATGCAAACACACCTGACTCTCGACAAGAACGAATCGACCGCGAATGTGTTCCGATGGTTATGAAAGGCGGGTTGCGCCACCTCTGGCGGCGAGACTAGTGCGAAGAGGTTGCCGGGCGCGTGCGCCTTCTTCAAAGCTGGCCAGTTAAACCCGCCAAGCCTCCATTTGCAGCCTGGGGTGTGCCTGACTAAGTTCTGTACAAACTCGCAGAACGTACGTTGCGTGTCTCTGAACTCGGCGCTCAAAAACGCTACTTTCTTCAAATGGTACGTTGGCAGCATTTTGACCCCAGCGCCAAAACGGCCTGAAATTAAAAGCCCGGGGGTAACTTCACATCCCCCTTTGAACGCCGATGCAGCGGTAATGAACGGGCCAGCGCGCCCTGGTCTGTACAACATACACTTCGGCCTCGTGCATCCGCACTGATTTCAGGCGATGCGTGATGAGTGCGGCCGCCACCCCTGGCGACCTGCAAGGTATATCCACGAAAACATGCTTCCCCCTGATAGCTTCTAGGAGCTTGGCCGTTGGCGTGCTCAGCGCGGCCAATCGCACGCGCTCGGTCTTACGCGACCTGGCCAATTGATCAACAAGGTTCTCCTTGTGTTTGGCGGCTGCGCCTTCGCAAACATTATGCGTCATTTCCTGTGGTAGAAGGACGTTCTCCGAGTATGCAATGCATCGTTTGGTATTACGCTTGTTCTTCAAGAAGTCGAGCTCCTTCTGGTGCGTGGCACCCCAGTTCGAGCCTGGTCCGACCCCCCTGGTCGAATCGCCAGCCACTGCATCCGAAACAGCGAGCCTCGCAGCCTTGCGGCGCTGACGAATGAATCCGGCTTCGCCTTCCTTCATCACTGTTCGTGGTCTCTTAACCCCTTTGTCGATGCGCGGAAACTTCCTCACTACAGGACGCCCGCAGGTCTCAAACCAAATCCGCCAGGCACTGTCAATGACTTTGTTGAGGTCACGATTGGGCAAGTCCAGAGCGATATTGAGAAACATGTCCTCGCTGCACGCGCCTGAGGAAAGTTGGCGACAGTTAAACTTGGGCGCGACCAGGCTAAACTTCTGCTCCACCCCCGACGCGCTGATTCCAAAAGCCACATATGCAACCAAAGCTGATCTCAGGTCGTCGATGTCGTACCGCAGCGCTAGTCTCTGCTGCCCTAGTTTCTGTATCACATAACTCCAAGCTTCCTTATTCTACAAAACTCTCTGCTGTTGTTGGCGAGCCCTCGGGGACCCATGTTCCCACTGAACCTGCAGCCTAGTTGGATTGATGTCCGCGGCCTGGCAGAACAGGCGCCCGGCATGTCTCGCGGGCAACGTTGACCTTGACATGTGGCTGAACTCAACTTTCGGGGGTGGGCGCGGCACGGGGGGGGCGGCGGTCGTTGCGGGCAACGCGGCGATCCAATGCCTGAGCAATCCGCCGCACATGCACATCCGCCCGGGGGTGCGTGGTGGACAAGTCGAACACTAGGAATGCCTGTGGTCATGGCGCATACCCCACTGCTATTGAGATCACCCCCTGGGGCCCCGCATGGGGACCGATCGGAAACGAAAAACACCAGCAGCAACAAAACCCCGACAACTTATCAACGTAACCCTGGTTGCCTCGGCAAACTCAGAAACTTGGAAAACTGGAAAACTATTCAACCGACATCTCGAAACTTGGAAACTCAGCTGCCAGTGCTGCGCGGGCCAGGACCACGTAAGACCTCATCCTCTCCATGCACCTGTTGACAATGTCGCCAGGGACACCGCGCTCGAAACCTATGCTCCGAGAGTCGTCGTTGACGTGCCAAACCACGTACTCGTTGAGGAGGTTCACCATGACCGAAGTGTAACCGGAAATAGTTAAGCACCGCT